CTTCTCTCTTAGTGTCAAGGTGTCCTGTCTGCACATTAGGGACATGGTGGTCCCCACCTTAGAGAACTGAGAACTGATGGGCACAGTGTACAGTGGCTCCTTAGTGGCCTTACTCCGTGAGGCAGCAGAAGGTGGGGAAACTCACTTACGCTCACACGGCGTGTGATGAGTTAGAGGGTTCAGAGCCTGGGGTCTGGCTCTCAGGGGGCGGGGTGAGAGCCCTATTGGAAATGGATGTCCGAGGTTTCTGGCATCCTGAACCGATAGGTTCTCTCTCTCTCTCCCATAAGACCCCAAGCCCCAATCCTGTGTTAGAGGTAGTTCCCATGTTGCCCATCAGTATCTCTGAGAACCCCTGCTGAGCCTCCCCGCTCCCAGGGGAGAGAGCAGGCAGGGGCTTGGGGACAGGATATGGGGGGTTTCCCCACTCAGGTTGAGATGTGTCACAACATTAACGTTAATTAAGCCTTGTTAATTCAGCCCCGCGCTTACGCAGAGCTCCTGACAGCAGATTACTCATAAGTGAGGCGGCGAATTTACTACGCGCGTTTCCCAGACACGCAGAAGCGGAGACCACATTGGGAGAGGCCTGGAGGGCGAACGATGCTCAGGTCTCACTTCCCCGCAGTACCCTCCCCATCCTCATGGCCTGGGCAGTGGTTAGGGGGGGGGGGTAGAGAGTGAGGGGTCTGCTGACTGCTTCCGGTTGACTGCCACGCTGGAGTGCCGAAGCTCAGGGCTGGGGGCTTGCCGGTCCCTCGGCTCTGCCTCACTCCTGTTTCACAGCAGACTGCTTTGCGTGAACACATTCTCCGCAGTGTCCTCCCATGGAAGAAGGCATGCTCTGCACATTGCAGGACTCAGCAGAGACAGCTTCGGATCTGCCCATAGGCCTCCAGTTCACCTCAGTGCTGGCCAACATCTTCACATTGCGGTGCAGTCTGAGGGACCTCCCCACCCCGCTACAAACACAGAGCTCCTTGTGGCCAGGTGACGGTTCAGGAATGCCACAGTGGAGTCGTTCCCTATCCTGAGGTGGAGGGGCAGATGGCCCCTGCTCCCTTGTTAGCAAGGTGAGGGGTGGGGCCTCTGCTAGGTACGATGTGCCCCCCTTCCCTAAGTCCCGCCATCTTCCTTGGCCTCTGGCTGGGCCATGCCTGAGACATTTGGAACAAATCCAGGCCTTGGGTACCCAGATTTTTTTTTAATTAATTAGAGCATTAAATGGTAGCCCAGTGGGAGAATCCCACCATCTGGCTGTCACAGGAGAGGCAGGCAGATCTCGGCATATTTTTCGGCAGTGTGCAAGCATCATGGGAAGCCACCTGTGTGTGTGTGTGGGTATGTGGCCTGTGTGCTGCAGCATGTACACAGTGTGGCATGTGTGTCTCAGTAGGTCTGGTATGTGGGGCATATATGAGTGTAAATGTGGGTGAGTAGATCTGTGCCTGCATGTTTGTGTGCCGGGTGCCATGCCTGAGGGCCTGCATGTCCATTTGACCACACTTCCCTGTGTGTGGTCTAGTCTCAGGCCTGGCTTGGAGCAGAGTGAGACAGGCTGGGCTATGTGCCCAGTGGGCCTCTTGAGCCTTCCTGGCAGAGGTGGTGGTCACAGACTGTCTGGGCAGAAGGCAGGATGGAGATAGGGTTGGCAGGTATACGCTGGCATTGGGAAGGGGGCAGGAATCCTTGTGCTTTGTTTGACAGATGGGGAAGCCAGGCCTGTCCATGCACAGAGCCGGGCTGGAGGGACAGGACCAATCCCTGGGCTCCCTGTGTGACGCTTTTTCTGCTCCACTAGCCTATTGCCCTGGCCAGCAGTTTGTGCCTTAGGCATCTTTTATGCTGTCAGATTTTCATGGTGGCTCTGAGAGGTTCCTCCGAGTACCACTCTGACTTCCCAGGACTGACCAGGATCAAGTTCAGAGCTCCCACTGCAGTCCTGGGTTCTCGTTCCCTAGAGGAGGCCCCTTGAGCTGCTGGAGAACACTGGACCTAGCAGGTCCACTCGTTTGCTGTGTGACCGAGGCCCATTTTGTCCCACTCTAAACCTCATAGGGCAGTTGTAAGAATTAAGGAAGGACTGGAGAGGTGGTTCAGTTAGAAGAGTGTTTGCCTAGCACACACAAGGCCCGGGGTTCAATCCCCAGCATGGCATAAACCAGTCATGGTAGTGGAGGATCAGAAATCCAGGATTATCCTTGGCTACATAGTAAGTTAAGGCCAGCCTCAGCAACAATATGACCTGCTACCCTGTCTCCAAAATAAATAGACAAATAAATAATGTAGCTCAGTGGTAAAGCACTTACCTAGCATACGGGAGGCCTTAGGTTCAATTCTGAGCACCAAACTAAGTGAGGAGCTGTATGTAACAGGCTCTGTACACCTTAAGGAGCAATGAGGTGGCCACCACTCCATTGTCAGGACCAAGTCTCAGCCCATGTTCCTCATCTAAGAGTAAAGGATATATAGCATGCCAAGTAACCTGCCTGAGGCCACACAGCCAGTGAGGGACAGACAGGATTTAAGCCCTGGGTCCCTTAACCTGCTCCTGGCAGGAGGAAAACCACAATAGGCAGTAGACTAGACTCTCTCAAACTTCTGTGCCAGGAGGAACTGGTCACTTGAAAGGAAGACCAAGGGGAATGAATTTGTTCTGGAGTGACAGACGGTGCTTGTAGGGTAGACTGCTTCACCTCCATGCAAGCCCCGTGGCTGTTTTACCGGGGGAATGTGCTGGCCCAGGGCAGGTGGTGTCGTCACCTTCCATAAGGAGCACCGAGAGAGGGTGGCGTAACTGAGGTGTGGTCCAGAAGGTCTGTGAGCAGGGAGGCTGTGCTGGGCACTCACGGGGAGGCTGTGCCGGGCACTCACGGGGACGCTGTGCCGGGGAGGCTGTGCCGGGCATCTGGCCCTCCTGCCTGCCTCTCCTCCCCTCCTCAGCCTGTGTCCTGCTCAGCTCTTGCAGATCTCCTCTGCTGTAGCCCCTGGTCACAAACTTTACCTTTGCTCCTTGCCCCCTGGCTGGCTTCAGATGAATGGGTGGGCCATCCCCCTGGACCAGTGCTCTGAGGCAAGGCCCCGCTGAGGTCTTCCCTAACTGTGGGCTTCATCAGTCCCTGGCAGGTGCCTGGCACGTACTCTCTTGTTGAGACAGGAGTTGAGTGAAGCTGGTCCTCCCAGATGCTCCACGTGGGACTGAAGGTGAGGGCCACAGAGGGCAGGACAAGGGAGGCCATGGCAGTCTCTGCACCCAGCTCTCCTGGAGTGAACCTGGGGATCCCCTCTACCCTGAGCTCTTGCCAAGCAGACCGGTGGCTACGCGTGGGCCTGCCTCCCCACCCTGCCCCACCCCCTGTTTTGGCCTAGCTGTCTCCCAGGTAACAGGGAATTTTCCCTCATTCCCATCATTAGGGGGCCAGGGCAAACAAACAGGCCTAATCCAGATGAGCCTTGGGCCACAATCACACTCCTCTGGGTTTTCTTTTTATTTCTAGCAATTTTGAGAAGCTTGAAGTCATTGGTATTCCACACAGGTTAACACAGCCACTGCCTCCTCGGTATTATGCCTTAATTTTCTTTATCGCATAGCAAGTTGGAATGAATCGCCTGCTCCTGCCTTTTTCCCACCGAAACCTATTACGAGCCTGTCTGATGGTTAAAGTCATTTCGTGGCAGCTCTTGGCTCCTTGCCACTTCCCTGAGAATCTTTCTGACCAGAGCCAAAGAACAAGGAGGGTGAAGAATCCATTTGTACAAAGTGGGGGTCTCCCGTTGAGAACTTATTTCCCTCCCTGTTCAGGGGGAACAGCATTCAGCCTCTTGCCTGCACAGACTGGCCATATGTCAGCAGTGGGAACGGGATTCCTGTGCCTCTGGTGGGGGAGGGGTGGCTATGCCTGCTGACTTCTGGCACCTGCGTTAGATCCCATGACAGGAGTTGCTGGGGTTCTGCAGTTTGCCAGTGAGCGTCTCTGATGGCTGCATTGGAAAGTTTCTGTGACTAGTGGCCCAGAACTAGTGGGCCTTAGTAGTATAATTTTATGTCTTGAGATATGGAGAGTTGGATCTGTGGTCCTGTGGCTCGTGTGTGTGTGTGTGTGTGTGTGTGTGTGTGTGTGTGTGTGTGTGTGTGTGTGTGATAGAGACAGAGACAGACAGAGAGACAGTGAGAGAGACAGAGAGACAGAGACTGAGACACATAGGAGAGAGAGCAGAGGGGTGAGGTGGGGAGAGTGAACATGTGCACGTACATGCACGGGTCTCTCACTGAATGGCACTGAACCCAGAGTTCCCTATTTGGCTAGACTGGCTGGCCAGAGAGTTCTGGGGTTCTACCCATCCCCCCTTCCCTCCTCTCAGAGTTCTGACTTTTTTTTAATGCTTGTACTAGGGGCACGAGGTCAGGCCCTCAGGCTTGCACAGCGGACACTTTATCCGCCGAGCCGTCTCCCCACACTGTCCCCGATCGATCTCTTCAGCTGCAGTTAGTTCTTCGTGTCGGGTCTTGTGAAGGAGAAATTGCTTGGCCTGAGGAAGGCCACTTCAGGTTGGCCCCAGCTTCTCTAGCATCATTTCCATGTTCATAAAGTTGAGGACTGGGCCAGGTAGCCTCCAAGGCCCAAGTTCCAGGCCAGTCCTGCTGGACTGTAGCGTCCCATGTGGCCTGGTCTCCGTCTAGCACCTCATGGGACCTGAGGCACGTATGTCTCTTGTCTACCCAAGCCCTCAGCCATTCCAAAGGGAAGGCAGCCCGGCTCTGTCTCCCTGAAGTCCCAGCAGGAAAGTGGTGATGGGAAAAGCCTTGGTGGGACTGTCTGCTGGTCCACTACATGATGTCAACATCCTTATCTCCCTGGAGTCTCACCACCCCGAATTGTTAGCCCTAAGTTCTAGACAGGAAAACTGACTACAATTGTACAGCCCCCTCCTGGGACCTTGTCTGGGTCACGGCGGCCTGCACATCTGTGGCTGGAGAGTCGTACTGGACACAGGAGGCCTGCGATTTGCCAACGTGTATGTGGGACCTCAGTGAGAGGTCTGTCCTAACCCAGGCCACCCCTTTCTCAGAGGTGTATCCAAAGTCTTCCTTTTCGGGCGGGCGGCCTTTCCTCTCCTGCTCCTTCCTCTCCGATACTGCGCTTGTCTGCAGAAAGGGGACTTTGGAGACTGCCTGGCTCCGTGTCCTAAAGCTGGTCCAGAGAGGGGAGGTGAGTGTCCTCTGCTGCTGTTGCTTAAAAAAAAAGACAAGAGTTTTACTACGTAGCCCTGGCTGGCTTTGAGATCCACCCACCTGTCTCCTGAGGGCTGTGATTAAAGGCGTATGCCATCATGCCCAACCTACCACCCTTGCTTCTAATCAAGACCTTGTCTTGTCTCACTGTGGATTGTGGCAATTCCTCTGGGGTCTTTGTTCCCTCGGCTTGGCATAAACTGTGTAGGAAAGTCTGCCTCAGTGCATTTCCTTCGAGCTCAGCTGCGTTTCCCACTCATCAGCCTCCATGTCCCCTTAAACAACCCCCCATGGTTCCCAGCTCTGAGCTGAGTTCCTCAGCTGTTCCTGCCTTCAGGGCCCATGGCTCCATCCTTTGGGCACCTACCTGAACCCTGGGCTCAGCTGACCTGGCCACCCTAACCAACACCTGCCCTGCCTTCTGGAAGCTGGTGCTGACATGCTGGCCTCACAGCTGGAGAGGACCCCCACCTGTCCCTTCCAATCTCACCTCTAGGCACCTGAAGCAGGCCCTTAAATTGGGCTCATGGACACACTGCCTCTTTTCTCTTAGGAGGAGGAAACTGAACTACAGGAGGGTAAGGGGTTTGTCCAGTGAACCCCCAGAAGCCAGGTGCAACCGGAAATAGTGCCCAGGATTGCCTCAGCCCGGGCTTGGCTTTGTGGATTTCCCAGGGAAGTTCATTGTAGCAGGAATCTTAAAAGTTCTTATTAATAAAATCAAACCTGAGCCAGGTATTGGGGTGAACTGGAAGATCAGAGAACCAGAACAAGCCACAGCTGCCTCAACTCGCTGGATCCTCAGCTGGTCTTGTTTCCTCAGACTGGAGGCCCCTGAGTCCTCATCCAGAATGGGTCTCAGCTGAACTGTGCTGCTCAAAACCTAAAAGCTTAACCAAATGCTTCTAGTTTCTGGTCCTCACACCTTATATACCTTTCTGCTATCTACTACCACTCCCTGGGATTAAAGGCTTGCTTTCTGGGATTAAAGGCGTGTGTCACCATGCCTGGCCGTTTCCAATGTGGCCTTGAACTCACAGAGATCCAGAGGGATTTCTACCTCTGGAGTGCTAGGATTAAAGGTGTGAGTGCCACCATTTTCTAGCCTCTGTATCTAGTGTCTGTTCTGTCCTCTGACCCCAGATAAATTTATTAGGGTGCACAATATTTTGGGGAACACACCACCACCACAGTCCATGAAGAGCTTTTCCATGGCATCGGAGTGATGAGGGTGTGCATCCCCTGGTCCCAGCTGGGGAAGATGGTGGGCCCTGCCTGTATCAGCCTGTGCCGAGCCTCTGTGATGGATGACTCACCCAGGCTGGTCCTGGCTGGGAGAGGTCCTTCGTCTTTCCAGCGTGGAAGCTGTGCAGCGGCTCTCTGTCTGGTGCTGACAGATTGATAGCTGTGTGTCACTGCATGGCAGGTCTTCCACCGCATTCCTTGGAGCTGGCCTATCCCAACTGCTGAGGCTGGGGGTAGGGGATTAAACACCTCCTGAGGAGTGGCACTCTAGGCCAGGGATCCACTGGTGTGTCGGGCGGGGGCGCTGCCAGACACCATCACACTAGTGCTTGCTGCCTGTAACACAGCAAGAGGCTGGCCAGGGAGAGAGGAGCGGCCCCGTGGAGCTGCCTGTGGCAGGGTTGCTGGTGAGAAGGCTCTGGGTGACTGTGACTATTGAGGGATTGAAGGAAGCAGATGGCCAGGAATCAGGGTAATGGAAAAGTCCCTTGATGGTCTTAAGAGTCAGCAGGACAGGCAGGGAAAGAAAGTCTTTCTGATTATACCCACCTCCCAATATCTCGAGCCAAAGCAGTGTAGACAGTGAGGGCCTGGGTACCAAGCCACAGTTTCCTCCTTCTGCCTGCCTTGCCCTAGGCCCGGCGGTACGTAACACTGCATCTAAAAGTTAGGGAGCTTGAAGCTCATCTTGTTCAGCCCATCACCACTGACAGGAGATCAAGGCACAGAGAAAGCGGAGGCCCCAGAGCACAGCCAGGATCCTGCAGGCTGGGGCTGGAGATAGCTCAATGTTAATTTAACCCTATCCTCTGGTTAAGCATCTATGTTTATCATGGAGACTGGATCTAGTTTTCTGTGTACTTACCTGGCTTTGGTATCAGGGTAATGCTGGCTTCATGGAATGTGTTTAGTAGTCTTTCTTCCTTCCTTCCTTCCTTCCTTCCTTCCTTCCTTCCTTCCTTCCTTCCTTCCTTCCTTCCTTCCTTCCTTTCTTCCTCTCTTTCTTTCTTCCTCTCTTTCTTTTTTAATGGAATAGTTTGTGTGGAGCCAGTAGGGGCCAGCAAGAAGATTCAGTCAGAAAGGGTACTTGCCATCAGGCCTAATGATCTGAGTTCAAACCCCAGGACCCATATGGTACATGGAGAGAACTGGCTCCTGTCAATTGTCCTCAGACCTCCACACATCCCTAGTGGCATGAACTAACTCTCTCTCTCTCTCTCAGCCAGTAGCATCCCTACCACAGGGCCCCCCAGTTTCTCAGAGCCATACCTTAAACAGAGAGACCCCTTAGATGGCGAGTGTGATCTGGGGGTGACAGGCTCCTGGGTCCTGCCTGCTCTAGACGTGCTAGCAAGAAGTGAGAGCCCAGCACCGAGGTCCACTCACAGAGGCAGCAGGCCCAGCAGCAGGAAGCAGATTTCCCAGGAACACATGTTGCTGTTGAATGAGCCCCTGGGCTCACAGGGATGCTTCCAGCTCCTGGGCTAATGGGTGAAGCATGTATCTTCTACTCAGCCAATGGCTCTTCCCAGCACGAGCAGCCACTGCCTAGGGGTGACCTCCTGCGGGAGAGGTTAGCCACTCCATCCTGTACTCCTTTGCACCGGGGATCCTTGGGCTCCTGGAGCCTGGCTTCCGTGACACTGGCTGCCAAGTTCTGCTCTGGGAACGCTGGGCTTTCCACTGGCAGCTGGTAGGGCCTTGGGCCTAAAGAAGCCTGCTCAAGGGTCCCTCAGCATGTTGGCAGAGTAAGACTAGAATGCAGTCTAGAGCCTCGGAACTGCAGGGGAGCTGCCCCTCCCCCCACCAGGAGGCCTAGGGCAGGAAGAACAAGTACCCAAATGCAAGGGACCTTGGCAGGCCTGAACAGTGTGTGTGTGTGTGTGTGTGTGTGTGTGTGTGTGTGTGTGTGTGTGTGTGTGCGCGCGCGCAAGCGCAAGCGCAAGCGCAAGCGCAAGCGCAAGCGCAAGCGCATGCACACAGGCAGAACCACAGACCTCTTAGAGGCTTCAGGTGGCTTATCTGGGCTTAGGTAGGAAGGTTCCTGGTTAGAGGAGGCTAAGGCAAATCAGGTATCCTCTGCCCCATTGGGGATTGTGAAGCTGGAGCCAGGCAGGACCCTGGGCTAGAATCCCTGGTCTAAAAGGATTTCCCAACCTTGCCTCCTGCTCTCTGGAAGCTTCTACTTTGAGGATGCCTAGAGTTTTCTTCTAGCTGTTTCCCTGGGACCTAGAATCCTAGTGCCAAGCGGGCAGTCCACATTCCAGGATGGGGCTGATCTGCTCCTTAGGAGATGGTGTTCCTGAGGTGTACACCTGTGTCTCCAAGCACCATGCAGACATTGGGTTTGGGGCCTTGGCAGGCACCAGCCCAAGACCCCTGCTGATCCCATCCTATCCACTGCTCTCCTGCGTACCCCTCCCCCACCCCCAGCTGTCACTGGCTCAATACTGCCTGCTTCTACAAATCACTGGGACAAGAAGATGCCTTTGTTGTCTACCCTCAGAGCTGCTCATCTTTCCTGTGGCGACTGGGAGTCCCACATACCCTAGAGAGAGCTTGGACCTCCCTGGTGACAGCCAGACCAAGTGTGCGAGAGCAACTGGGATGTACTGGATCTGAAGGGAGGGAAGCCCTGGGTGACCCTTTTGGAGAGCCTTGGAGCACAGAAAATCTTAAGTCACAGAGTCTTTAAAAGTTGATTCTGATGAGGAAACTAAGACCCAGAGTAGAAGAGTCCACCTTGCTAGTGAGGGATGTGGGGCTAGAGATTCTCTGAGGGAGTTCCTAGGCTGAGCACACTGAGGAAAGAGCCTGGGTCAGAGAGAGAGGTATGGGCTCATGTCTAGGCTCAGACCCTGCTGAGTGATGTTTTGTTCAAGTCTCTCTCTGGGACTCTCATCTATCCCCTGGTGATGGTACCTTCCTCTAAGAGGATGGCAGGAAGACCCATCTCTTTACTGGGAGACAGTGGTCCCGAATCCTCAGGGAGTAACATTGGTGATGTCTGCCACAGCCACAGGTCACTAGGCAATCTTGGCACTCCAGGCCCAGTTCCACCCCTACCCCCCATGAGGGTGTCCTTGCAGGTGTCTCCCACATGGTCCCTCTCTGGCCTCCTGGCCCCTCCCTCCCTCATTTTGTTGCCTCCGTGTTTGGGGACATTTTGTTTGACTCCTGATGTGCCCTGGGTAGAATGTGTAATCTGTAGTGAACTGGGCAGGAGAGGGGAAACTTTTCCCAACTTAACAGCAAAGAGGACGTCACATAAGTGATCCCCACCATGAGAGGATCTCTCCACTTATCTCTGGCCTCCTCAGCAACTGTGGAGTCTTCCTCATTCTCCCCAGGTGGGAGGAAAAAGGACTCATGTCTTGAATGTCACCTGCTGATGGATAGTGGTGGCCTGAGTCCTGCGGCCAGCTAGGCAGCACGGAGCCAAGGGCTTGAGCCTACATGCCACTCTTGATTGTGTTAGGACTCCAGGGAGTCTGCAGTACCCCCGAGAGCCTGGAGCTGTGGGTTGTCAGAGTGTGGCTGCCTGGACCCAGGGAAACAGGGGCGCAGTCAATGCCGTCCACTGTTTCCTGACGCCTCTGACTGGCAGTGACCGTTAGAGTCCTAGGAGCTTAGGGTGTGCAAGTCAGGCTGAGGCCCTAAAACTAGGAATCCTGAGAGAGTTAGTGCCCGAGACACAGGGAAGCTGTTTGAAATGTCAGGCCCATGGGATCTTTAAACTCGGGGCTCACGGGAACGTCGCAGGCCTGAGGAGGGGTAAGGATCTGAACCCAGAGCTGCTGAACCACACAGTAGCTCCCAAGTCCCAGCATTTCCTGAAGGTTCCTGCGGGACTGTTGAGGGGAAACAGGGGACAGGATTCCCCACGTTTTGCCGTTTCCACCCCGCAGCTCCATTTTTACCTATTTTCTGTGTTGGGGTTTCACTTGGGAAAAGGGTTTCTCTGCTCAAGTGTGAAGAGTAACACTTGCCAGGCCCTGCGCTGTGTGGTGTGGCAGCTCCGTGCCAGGAGCCACCCTAGCCCGCGAGGGTGTTTCTGGCAGTGGGTGGACAAGCCTGCAGGCCGGGGCCTCCTGGAAGGGGGTACAGGCTGCTCCAGGCCACTGTCTCCTCCCCCTCGCGCTCCCGCTGTGTTGTGGCTTCAGCCAGAGAACACTCTTAGTCTGTCGTCCTGTTGACTGGGGTGACAGTTTAATAGTAGCTTCCTGGGCTGTCATTTAAATCTGCCTGCCAGGTTAGTAGGCCAGGGGCGGGCTGGCACGCCCCCTGCCCCCACCCCGGATCTCCATTCTGCTGGCAGCAGTTGTCTTGGCAACCCCAGGGCCTGGCAAGCTCTGCAGAAGGGTAACTGTGTGGGGAGCAGCCCTTTCATCTCCCCGAACAGGGTACAAGTGGCCCAGCTGCCTTAGGGCTGGCTGCAGGCAGAGCCAGGCCAGCCAGTGCTGGCCTAGGCCCGAGGGAGGAAGCAGAAGCAGCTGAGCCGCTCTGGGCAGGTCCTGAGGTGGAAGCTTTAAGTCTTCGGTTTCTCCTTCCCTCCGCGGGCACCCAGGTCACTCAGTGGCAGTGCTGAGCTGGACTCCCCCTTACTTACTGGTCTCTGCTGTCTCTCTCTCTCTCTCGAGCTCCGGAGACCAGAGGGAAGACAGGTTCTGCCTCCCTGGCATCTCTCATCTCCCTGGCCCAGGTGGCTGGTCTCAGTCCCTGATCTGAGGACTTAGGTCTCTCCAGTGAGAACCCTTGAGCTCATCTGGGTCGCCCTTTGAACACCTGCTATTCATGGTCTTGTAGGAGAGGCCCACAGTGAGATGACTGCTGTTCTCTGCTGGGTACCTGTGGCCAGACTTTCTTCCAGGGACCTCATCTTATAGGAGCGAGAGCTTGCATCACATAGTGTTTCCCAGATATGGCTCACTGGGCTTTCTTTTCTTGGAAAACAGACATGGCATCCAGAAAGGGGAATCTCTTCATTAAACAAAATTAGAGGTACTGGAAGAAACAACCAATTAGGTATCTGCTGCAGACTTTTGTGGGGTTTTTTGGTAAGCCACTGCATCGTGATTCTCCGTGGGGGAAAGTATATCTTAAAGATATGGGCAGACAGCCACCCAGGCTCTCGGCCTGTTTTCTGACTCTCTTCCTCTGCTAGGGGCCACTGGTCCATGCTGCATAGCCTTACCGAATCACAAAGCAAACAGAGCCATGGGTCTCACTGGCTGCTGAGTAAGCAGTTCTGTGCTTAGCCAGACACTGAGTGGGTCCCTGGATGAGCTCAAGGAAAGCAAGGTCAAACCGGGCCTCCAAAGGGCAGTTTGATGCCAGGCAGAGCAAGCTGGCTGCTAGCCTGGAAGAGTTCACAGGCTCCGTGATCCTTGCTGCCCTCCTCAGCCACCCACCCAGTCCCTTACAGACTGATTCCTCCAGTGCTGATTCCTCCAGTCCGGGCCTGTTAGCCCTTCCCAGAATGCCCTTCCCCACCACCACCCATCCTCACAATAGGCACCTCCTCCTTTGGGCACAGCCTTCCTCCAGTGGCCTAGAGAGGCTTCTCAGGCTTCTTGGCCACACAGTCGGCCCAGATATCAATACCTGAGCTCAAGTGCAGCCTCTCAATGCGCATATGCGGTGTGACCTTGGGTTGACACTCATCTGGGAACTCTGGTTGGTGGGACGTTCTCTTGGCCACGAGCAGCAGCTGGATTATTTGAAGCCACATCTGTGCACAGGAGTGTGTGGGTGGGATCCACAGCTTGAGGATAATGCATTGTTTTGGGAAGGACGCCTCTGGGGGTGGTGAGTGGGAGTGGTGAGTGATCATAATAATTTACAAGATCATGCAGGGGCCGAGAGCTGCTGAAGGACCAGTCGGCACCACACCCCCGTCTCCTGAGGAGAAGCACCACCCAGATGTGTTGACTGACAAGCCCGCATCACACACCCTTTGGCTGGGGCTGGGGCTGTGACTGTACATTCCTCAACCGCGTCTCCTTTGATTTCTTAGTTCACAAATCCCTGGCACCCCCATCCTCTGTGTTCCTCGTAGCAGCCCAGTGTTTTGTGAGGCTCAGAGAAGTAGTGTATCTTGAATGAGGTCACACAGCCACAAGTGACAGGAGCGTCCCTTTGACCGCGAACTGTTGGGTGCTTCTTTTGCGTGCGCTAGTATAAATAGCAGTAGCCCTCACTTCCTTTGTCCCGGATTTCCCACTGTCCTCTGCTCTTCCCTGGGGCAGGCCCCTCCTCACCACCCTGTGGAATCCCAAGTCCTTTGTAGCAGTCCATCTGTTGCCATGGCACCAGATTATGATGTCGCAGACCCTGGATGACTGTGTATCACTCCTGCAGTGTGGAGTACAGGGACTCACAGAGGTGGGCATTGTCCAAGGGGCAGACTGGCACAGAGGGACATAAATCCCTGGAAACAGGGGACCGCAGCCTGGAGCCCAGCTGGGGAATTGCCCTGGGAACCAAAGCCAAGGCCAGGGGAGTAGGGTCTGGCATGGCCTGCAGTGATGGCCCTGACCGACTGCTTGGCCTCTTCTGTGGCAGAGCCCAGCTAGCCTGGCTACACTGGAGGGACCCGAGGATGCTGAGCTTATTCACTGAGCTCTTTTGCCTTTCGTCCTGGGGCAGTGCTACACAAGATAGCCACCTCCCTACTGACTTCGAGACAGACGGGACTTGCTCTCAGTCACCTAGGGAAGAGGTGGCCATGCCAGGATTCATCCTAGGCTCCCCTGCCAGATCCTTCTAAGTGATTTCAGAGGTCCAACAGAGAGCCTTCAAAGTGGTTTCGTCTAGTCTCAAACCTGAAATGCTGTCTCAGTTTCTCCAGGGTACATTACTCAAACACAGATCACCATAGGCCGGGTTTCTGCTATACACTTTTGGGCACACAGAAAGGGTATACCTTTGGGCAAGAACCTCTGTGCGTGGCAGTCCTTGCAACAAGGTCCCTGAGGTTTGGGGGGCATCTGTCTCAGGAGTCTTTACTCTTTACCTGCCAATACCCTGGTGGCTGCAAGCCTTAGTGGGAAGGGATTTACTTACCTCTGGCAGCTCTACACGGACCCCTGAAGTCCTCCTTCTGCCCCCTACCCACTCACCTCTTTAGAGCCTCAGTTTCCTCTGTAAAGGGGATTAACAGCAGCTACCAGGATAGCTGTGAGTGTTCCTGGGACTTGGGGTGACAGGTACAAGGTTAGATCTGGGTGAGAAGGATCAAACTGGCCGAGACACTGAAACCGTCTGTTCCGCAGTCTGCCATGGGCCAGCCATCTCTGAAGCTGTCATTTCTGACATTTAGCTTCCATGCCTAGTGTCTGCCATGGCTTGGCATACAGGGAGAGACCAAGCTCTCCCCTACACTCCCAGAATGCCCTGGAAGAAAGGGTCCTGGGATGGTATCTGGCTGGCCTATGCCTAGTGACAGAGCCCCTGCGTCACCTTATGCAAGCTGTCTCGTCCTTGCCTGTCCCCTTGCTGGGGCTCTTTGGACCGGATGCCCTGTTCTGTACATCCCAGGGCAGAGGTTTATCGGAGACTGGCGCTCTCACTGGCTCCTTAACTTATGTGGGGGCTTTTCTGACACATGTGCCACTGTTTGGGGATTGTGCTGGTTGGAAGAGCAGGTTTTTTAACTTGACAGGTTCAGATCTCCTCTCACTTAACATGTGACCTTGGTCGTATACCTTAACAGCTTTGCCTGGGACTCTGCCTGTGTTAAGGGAGGAAATATCAGGCTGTTTGTCCTAGGGTTTCCTGAGTAAAACATCCGACAGAGAACTGGAAAAATAAAAAAGAGGCATCTGCTGGGCAGTGGTGGCCCACGACTATAATCCCAGCACTCAGGAGGCAGAGCCAGGCAGATCTCTGAGTTTGAGGCCAGCCTGGTCTACAGAGCAAGATCCAGGACAGGCACCAAAACTACACAGAGAAACCCTGTCTCAAAAAACCAAAAAATAAAAAAAATAAAAAGAGAGAGAGAGAGAGAGAGAGAGAGAGAGAGAGAGAGAGAGAGAGAAAGAAAGAAAAAAGAAAAAGAGGTATCTCTCTTAGGAAGACATGAAGAAAACCCCTCAGAATACAGATGCACTATGAGGATGCCATGGAAAAGCAAGGCCAACATGGAGTGGAGTCAAAGAAGCCAGTCAGTTCCCCCCAAACCCTGCTAGGCAGCTGGAGGACCACAAGATGGGAAAACCAAACCAAACAAACAAATCCTTAGGCCATGGACTGTGCTTCCCAAGGGGAAGGAGCCCTGCCCTGGGTGTGTAAGAGCAGAGAGGCCAGGAATGGGCTTGCTGTCCTCCTGGGGTCTGCCCTGAGTTGGGTCCTGTGTGGAATCTGACATGGAATCTGACATGGAATCTGACATGGTACCTGTTGTGGAGGGACAGGAGAAAAGCAAGCCACACCAGACCACAGACTCAGTGATGACACAGAGCAGAGGGCATCAGATTTAAGGGCACAGGCCCAAACCAGCCTGTTGCTGCTCTTTGAAAACAAACTTGTACAGAAACACAGCCCTGGTCACCCACCTGCTTTCTGTCTGTCCACAATAGCAAAACTGAAGTGCAGAACAGAGCCTGTGCAGCCTACAGCCCCAAATATCTACCATCTGTACCAAGTTTACCAGGCTACAGACAATCATTTAGAGGATTAGGGCAACTCAGAGGAGGTCCCTGACAAAGATGGAGGTGATGGGAAGGCTTCTTGGAGAAAGAAACATCCAAGCTTATAATGGAAAAGCAGTGTTTAGAGAGGGTTTTCAGACAACGGCCTGAGCAGAGTGTGATGGCATTAACAGTACCTAAGGACCAGCAGTAACCAGGGTGGGGCCAATTGGGAATCTGGAGAGGGAAGAAAAAGGAGGAAACTTGTCAGCCCCTAGAGAGGGGCAGTATCCAGATGGCCCTAACATCACATTTAGTCCTACCGTCATTCAGACAGTGGACTCCCAGGGCCCAGGTTCCCGAAGGACACTATCCCTGCCAGTTCTAGGACCTCTTGACCTGTGAGACTACCTACTATGCCCAAAAGATTGTGTCTTGGGGGCTGGCGAGATGGCTCAGCAGCTGAGAGCACTGGCTGCTCTTCCAGAGGACTCAGGTTCAATTCCCAGCACCCACATGACAGCTCACGTCTGTAACTCCAGTTCCAGGGGATCCAACATCTTCACACAGACATACACGCAGGCAAAACACCCGTGCACATAAAGTAAAATTAAAATAAAAAAAAAAAAAAGATTGTGTCTTATCTCTTTCCCTTTCCCTACGAAGAAACCAAAGGCAGAGAAGGGGAAGTCCCTCCCTTGAGAGGACACGACAAAGCACAACAACCAAGACACAAACTCGGCCCGCTGGCTCCCTGTGACATCACTCCTGAACCCTCAATCCCAGTCTGGGTGGGGCTCATGGAAGCTGAATGCAGGTGATGTTGAGAAGTCCCTGACTCTTTGAGGCCCTGGAGTCCATGGAGGGTGCAGGGAGCCAAAGGCCAAGTCCTCACACCTCTCCTGCACACTTTCCAGGGTGGGCAGGCAGCCAGGCTCATCTGCACGTTCCCTGTTGGGACAGCTGCCTGTTCTGCCCTTGTCTGAAGCTATGGTCAGTGCCAGGCACCAGGACAACACAGAAATAATAACAGAGCAACCTTGGGACATGGCCTTCTTCTCCACTCTGACCCCTAAACTCCAGTTTCTCTCAGAACTAGGCACACGGGGCAGCAAACTAGTTTGGGGCTGGATCTGGTATTCATATTCTTGCTCCCACTCGGCCATGAGCCGTGAGATCTCAGCCTGTAAGGGCACATAGCACCCCATTTCCTTCCCTCCTAATCACCACCCAGACAAACAGCAGTAGCCGTACCGAGAGCAAGCACCTGCCATGTGCAGGGCCCGATGGCATGTCCTCATACATCAACTTCTTGCTCTTCTCCAGCCCTTTGCGTTCTCCCAGTCGATAGTCAGGAGAAGGGAATCCAGATGTTCATAATGTCCTCAAATTCACACGGACGGCAGGAGGTCCAGTGTGTTCCAAAACCCTGATGAAGGATGGGAGTCTTCCTGCAGAGCTCTAGGACAGGGACCCATATGGGTGTCTTGACCAATGAGTGCTCCCTCTGGGCTACAATTTCCTTGTCCATTGTCACAAAATGATTGTCTCCTTTTAGGGTTCATGATCATAAGCTCCCGGGCGCTCTTCCACGGGGCCTGGTTGTGTGGTGGGATAGGCAGGTGAAGAGACTGAGAACCGCCTGAAGGGAGGAATTGAGAAGCGGTGTGGGGGAAGGGGTGGCTGCCAGCCTTGCTGGACTGGAGCTCCCTACTTACAGACCCTGCAGGAGGTTTGGGGGTACACTTTTTAGGCTGAGCACAAGCCAGCTACCTGTTGGCTGCCTGACTCTGTCTTAGAAAAACATTCTGTGCTCAACGGATCCTTAGCTCTTTCTTCTCTTTGCCCCACAGCCAAGAGGACCTGCGCAGACAGTGACTTTACCTGTGATAACGGCCACTGCATCCCGGAGCGCTGGAAGTGTGATGGCGAGGAGGAGTGTCCTGACGGATCTGATGAGTCCAAGGCCACGTGTTGTGAGTCTTGCCCTGGACCTCAGTTTCCTCACCAGCATTTTCGGGTTGGCAAGTGTCGGGTTCATGTGAGACAGTCAGAGGATGCTCGGTGCCAGGCAGGCCCTCTGGGGAGTGGGAGGCTCCTGGTAAGCAGTCGGGGGTTTAGGTGCCTGTTTCCCGGGCTTTCTTCTCGGCTCCCTTGTAGGTTTGACTCCGTTCCTGTAGCACCAGGAGCTAGAATCGGCCCCCAAATACTGCTCAGAAGTAGCCATGGCTCATCTTCCAGGCCCGCTGCTGTTCTCGAGGATCTTAATTGTCATTCCAGCGGCAGCAACGGCAGCTGGTGCTTGTTAATCATTTACTGGGGCCACACCTCGCTAAGCTCTTTGTATAATACAGCCACCCTTTCATCTTGAGCGCAGCCTCTAGAGGCAGGTTACCACTTCCTGAATTGTCAAAAGGGGCACACAGAAACTCAGAGTTGGAGTGATTTGTCCATGGCCACCCAGGCAGGACTTCGAGGGCCCAGCTCTCTCCTCTGTCTTGGGTGAGCTGAGTACAGGAGGCTTGTTCTTCGTGGCGAGCTGGATGCTGACAGAAGGGACCAGGGCTGAGGCGGCAGAGCTGGTGCTCCAGGACTGCCTTCCACACACAGAGCCTCGTCTCTCCATGATTTCTTCTCTAGGCTCTAATCCTCAAAGCAAACTTAGACCTGGCAGGTCATTCCGTGACATTTGTTAAATTAAAAAGGAGATGAGGAGGGGAGGGGGAGGACCCAGCAGTCCAGAGGCATCAGCAGCGCGAGCCTGAGACAAAAGGCTGGGGGAAGCACGTGGAGAATGGTGGGACTCAAGGGGGGGATCCAGACGCCCCTCTCTAGGACTAACATCTGCCCCAGAGGTAAAGGCAGGGACAATAGAGGCCAGAGTCCCATCTAAGGCTGCCGCTGATGATAACTGGGTTTCCTTGTCTCCTAGCAACAGAGCTACCAGTTTCCAAGAGAGGAAGAGAAAAGGAGAGCAAGAGAGACCCCCACCCCAGACAAAGGGCCCCTCATTTCCTAGGCAGCTGCCAAGCCCTCCCCAGTTTCACTTCAGGCCCCACCCTTTCCTTACCACACCAAATGCCCCTCCATGCTGTCCTGGAGGCGTGCGGGCAGAGGGAAGCCCGGGGCTTTCTCCGGCCCTTCCAAAAGAACAAAGCCCTGCCACACTTGCCTGTGACTGGCATCCTCATGCCAGCCTAGAGGGTGGTGGATCCCTAATAGAGAAAGAAACTGAGACTGGACCAGGCTGGCCAGTTGACCATGGCTGCTCAGCTGAGAAGGGACAGAGGTGTAGCACGAATGTTAAATGGTCTTTTACAGATGTAACAGGAATTCTAGAATGGTCTTTTAATTAAAACAAAAAACAAAAACAAAACAAAACAAAAACCGGACCCAGGTATTGGGGTAAATGCTGAAAGATTAGAGAGACCAAGGAACAAGCCACAGCCACCTCTTACCTCTAGGGCTCCTCAGCCTGAGAAGGTTCAGTTCCTGTCTCCTCACGCCTTATATACCCTTCTCCGCCCGGCCATATCACTTCCTTCCTACTGCTGGGATTAGAGGTGTGAGATCTCAAGTGCTGGGATTAAAGGTGTGTGACTTCCAGGTACTCTCCCATCCTACCTATTTCCCTGTCTTTCTTCCTCAAAATGCCAGTGCTCGCTGCCTTCCTACCTCCTGGTCTGTGCTGGGCCCACATCCCCACTCCTCCCGACTCCAAGGCCCTTCCATGTATCAGCTAAGCAGCTAGAGGCCTCAAGAACTTGGTAGACCTGCCTCACAGACATACAGCCTGTTTGTGGCAAGTGCCTCTCCTGTGACAAAAGACAGGCTTCTCAGGCTTTTGATTCATGGGAGCAGCAGCCAAGGAAGCACCCGGGATTGAAGAGGCCCAACTCCATGTGGATTATCCCAGGCAATTGCTGTGAGGGCCCTTTTTCCACTGCTCCTCCAAATATGAGTCCCAACCTAGGATCCCATAGATTTCCTCATTTTAAGATTCCTAAATTCTTAGTGGTCCAGGACCCACTTTCTGCACTTGTCCAGTGGGGTACAAAGCCTGGGATCCCTACTTCCTGAATCTTTGCATTGCTCGGAGCACTGGTCACAGGGTATGTGACTAGGGAGGGCTGCCTGGAAGAATCAGCCAGAGAGGACCTTGAAGGCCAGGCAGAATTTGGGGCAGCAGGACTGGTAGCAGGCTTGCTCACAGCTTCCCAACTGAATGAAAACCCGCTGTCCATTTAATTGGTGTTGCCATAGCAACCTCCATAGCCTACCAGGTTTCTGGGACTGTGCCAGCTCCCAGGATAGAGCCTTACTCCTCACCCCAACAGAAAGATTATAGATAGAAGAGTACAGTAGGTTTGGGATCTGATTCAGTTGGGTCAGGCCCTTTGCCTTGAAACCTCAGGTGAGTTACCTAGTCTTCCTGAGCCTTGGTTTCCCCTTTTGTAAAGTGGCATGGCGTATTTGCCTTATAATGGGTGTGGGACTCCGCTGAGAAAACACAAGTATTGGAGTAAGTGTCCGTGTTGTTTATTATTGTTCTTGGACCTCAAATCTCTGCCCCAATATTACAGTTTATTAGGCTATCAGGACACCAGAGTCATACTATTAAAATAGTATAGGGGGAGGGGTGTGTGTGTGAGAGAAGCACAGGGACCTGGCATAGGTACTCATCAAATACAACCAGAGTCACAATGGGAAAGCCTAGAACATTTGCCTAATGAAAGTATCATTTGGGTTCTAATTATAGCTCACTTGATTGACCCACCTTCAGGCATCTGCTGGGAGGGGCGCAGGCAGGGAGAGGAGAGTGGTTCAAGGGGAGAGAGCTCAGATCTGGGTGCTGCTCACTGCATGCGGATTCCCCCCTTGCATCTTGGCAGCCAGAAGGGGTTCTCGCTGCCCACTTCTGCTCACCTGCTTCTTATGGATCAGGAAGTGCAGGCCTGGAGATCTGAGATCGCCCATTCTGCCTGATGCGGTGTGAAGGAGTCTGCTCCTTCAGGGTGACAGGGGGCAAAGGTGTGCTCCCTACGACAGGGCCCAGCCAGGGGACACTGGTGGCTGCCCGAGTCTCAGGTTCTCTTGGAGCAGACAATCCCCATCTCTCCCTAACATCCAAGTCTCTAAAACTGCAAACCAGTGAGCAGCCGCCAGGTCCTATCAACAAACAGTATCCTCGTTTCTTTATTTATTAACCTCTGAGTCGGCAAACGTACCTGTAGATTTGGGTTTCTGGGACAGGATTCTCAGGAAGTTAACGAATGCCTTCAGTCCCCTCCGGGTGGAGTTTCAGGCCCCTCACTAGTGTTGTCTCGCAGTGAAGATTGGTGCTTCTGTCTGGAACACTTGGACAGCAAGCCAAAGGTGTCCCTTGGGAGCCTGTGTTCCGGGAGAGGCTGTGCTGAGATGGGGACCATGTCACAATGAGACATACAAGCTCCCGTGCATTCCCCAGGGGTGAGACCAGCCTCCCCAGCAGACGTTACATCGTCATTGCATGGGATAGGACAAGAGCAAGTGTTTCCTGAGCTCCAGTGTGTTCCAGGCTTTTGAGTATAGGGATTCCCACACTGCCTCATGCAAACCACTTACCCACCCCATTTTCAGCAGAGGAGACCCAGGGAGCATAGAAGATAAATGTCTTGCCTAAGGAACTTAGTGTTAGTAAATGAGATTTGGACCTAGGTCTATTGACGCAGAAACCCAGCCTCCTTCACCTATATCCACTTGCCTGGAGGTCTTGGCTTCAAGGATCCTGACAATAGACAGCAGATAGCCAAGTTGTTCAGCCTACCTGAGCCAAGGCTAGCTGAGCACCTCACTGACCTCTCCAGCCATGCTGGGGAGAGCAGCAGTCTCCTCCTGCGCAGTGGCTGTATAGCATGGACCTGGGGTGGAAGTCCACCTCAGCTGCCTCCGTAAGACTCACAGCCAGCAACTTACACTCTCTCGGCTTTCCTCTCTGCCCGGGAGACGGCCATCAGCACTTCTTGCCGTACTCAGTGGAGAGGCCCGACCTGGAGCCTGGGGTCCCAGCTTTGGGGACGAGCTATACCACAAGAGAGGCACAGGCAGTGAGGGTGCGGGAGAGACAGGCATTTGACACACACCTACCTCTCTCTGGACCCTGGAATGCCACTCCTAGGAATGCTTGTCAACTTGATCTCCTTGGCCTCCTGGCATTCTGGGAGCCTTGACTCTTTAGGGGTGAAGAGACTGGTCGTAGGCACTGCTGGGTCCTTGAGAGCCTGTAATTAGAAATGCCTATTTAGGGACACAGCAAATGCCTTATTAATTATAAAGAAAGGAAGCAGACAGATTGTTTAATCATTGTCCTTGTTGAAAGGTTATGCTGTTAACTGTATAAATATTCATTAAAAGTTCAATCGGCTGCCTGCCGCACTGGGGGTGGTGGTGCAGGACCAGGCCTCCGGAGGTGGAACATCTGGCCAGAGGCTGTTTCAGTCACCTCGGCTTTGGGGAAGAAAGTTTGGGGCTGGCTCTCAGCCTTGCAAAGGTTTGATAGAAAGACAGGGCTTTTGTCAGAGGAACCCAGACTCTGTCTTCAATGTGCTGTGCATGTTTGGGTGAGTCACTTGATGTCTCTGAACCTTAGGACTGCTGCCCTACTCAGTCTAGGAAACATTACCACCACAGTCCCTTTGAGAATGGTGCTCCTGGAATCTTCTTGCTCGTCAGGGTTAGGTAAGGGTGATGATGAGCATCTTAGTTGGTTCTGGCTAAATGCTATGAACTGTACTGGGTAAACTGTAAATCACAGAAACCTAGTGCATACAGTCCTGTTACACACACAGGGCACCAACAGACTGGAGTCCGTGGGGTTCATTCCTCACAGATGCTGCCCTTCCCACTCAGACATTCATGATAGAGAGGGCATGGAGTCTACCTCGAGCACTTGTATTACATACAATTTTCTTTGTGTGTGTTCATGTACATGGTTCTACAAGGACACTTTCACACAAGTACATAGAGATATGTACATAGACATATGCTAAGCATATTCTTCCCTCTCCCATTAGCTCCTTTGTTCCTCTAGATAATTTTGCTTCTATTTTAATGTCGTCTATACACACTTAATTTTATATATTCAAATAAAACTAGAACCACAAATGAGGGAAGACATGCAATATTTGTCTTTCTGAGTCTAGCTTAATTTGTTTAATATGATCATCTCCAATTGCATTCACTTTCCTGCAAATGACATAACTTTGTTCTTCATGGCTGAAAAAAGTCCACCTCCCCCGTGAGGCCTAGTTCTCGGAGTCCGGGTCAGTGCTTAGTGTTTGCCTTGTCTTTCCACCCCACTGCTCCTCAGGGGCTTGCAAACATCTGAACACCTGGATCACTTTTAGGGTGCCATGGTATTACAAGGAGATGAGGTGTGCCATATCTTTTCAATATGCAGCTTGTTACCTCAGGGGGCTCTCACACAGGGGTACCTGGAACTGCTTGGGTTGAGAGGAGTTACTAAAATGCAGGTTCCAGGGCCTGGAGCAGTGGCTCAGCCATTAAGAATGCTTTCTGCTTTCCCAGAGGGTCTGAGTTTGGGTCCCAGCACCCAGGGATCCGATGTCATCTTTTCCTCCTCCACACATGTACCAGACACACATTCACACGAAGAAAAATATAAAACTTTTTAAAACTGCAAATTCCTTGGCTTTCAACATCTAGATTCAGTCAATATGGCCTGGGGCCCAGGGACTTGAACTTCTAAGACCCCCCCCCCTTAGCCCCGCCTCTTGGTTAGAGAACTTTCTGGGAGTCAGCTGGTCAGCTCCGGCTGCTTCATGTTCTGAAGTACCAAGAAGTGCTCAAGGTTCTCCAGTGCTGGTGACAAAAGTTATCTTCAGATGCCCGACCCCCTTCACCCCCCCACATGACAGCCCAAAGTGGCCTTTTTTTTTCGGGGGGGGGGGAGCAGTGTTTGGAGATAGGGTTTTTCCTGTGTAGCCCTGGCTGTCCTGGAACTCACTCTGTAGACCAGGCTGACGTCAAACTCAGAGATCCGCCTGCCTCTGCCTCCCAACTGCTAGGATTAAAGGCGTGTGCCACCACTTCCTGGCAAAAGTGGCCATTTCATTTTTGTATGTATTTATGTATTTTTTTAAGGTATGAGTGCGCTGTCTGCATGTATGCCTGCAGGCCAGAAGAGGGCATCAGATCCCATTATAGATGGTGTGAGCCACCATGTGATTGCTGGGAATTGAACTTGGGACCTCTGGATGAGCAGCCAGTGCTTTTAACCACTGAGCCATCTCTCCAGCCCCCAAAAGTGGCCATTTTAAAAGCTCACTGAATGTCAGTGCTTTCCAGAGCTCTACCTGACAGTCACTTGGTGTAGAGTGAACTCTATGAATTCTCTGTTCCCGTTGGACTGCCTGATTCAGGACGGTGTTCCATGCCAGGTGTCCCAAACCTGCCCACATCTGGGATCCACATGGGATCTTGTCCCCATTGCATAGGTACTCGTCCCCAGGGCATAGCATGTGTCATCGGGGACCTTGGTTTAGACACCTGCCCCAGACCACGTTTCTGTGTCTTTCCTTGTCTCAGCCCACTTTTATTCATCTCTGTGGCCTCTCATTCCAGCCACAGAAATAAAATGAGAGGAAACAGATCAGAGATCAGAGTGAGACATGAGTCACTCTTCTGGACGTACGAAACTGTTCCCAGTCTGTGTGTGTGTGTGTGTGTGTGTGTGTGTGTGTGTGTGTGTGTGACTGGAACTCAGAGCTTACCATCATGTCTCGTACCCAGCAGCCCAGCAGTGCTCAATATTATCCACTGACTGGATAAACAAGACTCAGAGTCTCATCCATTATGTGTGGATAATAACAATGGGGAACATGTAGTGAGCCTAGGATGAATGTACTTCTAAACGCTTTGCAGACATTAATCTGGTCATTACAACAATCGTATACAGCAGGTCATAGTGTCATTACACTTTGTTGACACAAAGAGAGGTATTTCTGGCCAAGGTCACGTGGCCACTGAATAACTGAGCTGTGATTCAAACCCAGGCAGCCAGCCTTAAGAGCCCACATCCTCACTTTCCATGCTGGAGGCCGGAACATAATCCTCACCCTGCTGGGTTATTCTAAAGATGAAATGGAAATGTCTAGCACTGTGCCTGGCACAAATCTAGAGACCTGAGCCTGGGACTCCTGCACACTGTAGACGGCAGCGGGGAGCCAGCCAACAAGGTCGAAGATGTGTCTGCCTCAGCGGTCACGTGGAGTGGGGGGAGCTGAGCGAGCTGCCCCCAGTCCTGACTAGGGTTCTCATTCTTCCAAACCGAGACTCAACCCTGGGGCTCTGGGTCCCTGATTGAGTCAGCCTCTGATGGCAGCTGCGGTAATTATAGCTGGCAGTCCCGCTGGGCCCTGCGTGGAGAGGCTGTTCTCAGCGGGGGGCTCGGCCCCATCTTACAGAGACTCCAGATTGCTGCTGCTAGGGTTTGGGGGAGCCCTCCAGCCACAGGTTCAAATCATGGAGGTGATGATCTGGAAGCAAACCGAGGTCCTGTTAGGCATACCTCACCCAAGGCACGAGGCTGGAACACAGCAAGGCTGTGACAGCTCCATATTGTGAGATCTGAAAGGGAAGAGGGGGGGGGGGCGCTTGGATCAAGAAAGACTTGAAGCGAGGCGGTGGTGGCACACGCCTTTAACCCTAGCACTGGAGAGGCCGAGGCAGGTAGATCTCTGTGAGTTTGAAGCCAGCCCGGTCTACAGAGTGAGATCCAGGATAGCTAGGGCTGTTACACAGAGAAACCCTGTCTTGAAAAACAAACAAACAAACAAAAAAAGGGATTTGAATGTCTTGGACTAAGAGACCATGAGACAGCGGGACAGTGTGGGGTGGGGTCAGATTTAGGAAGATGGCTTCCGATGAAGAGGCATGGAGCAGGAGTCCCTTGTGGACTGCTAGGGACTTACGCCCAGTACCAGGACTGTGGTGCGGTGTCACCCCTAGCTAAGCCGCCTTGAACTTCCGGATGTCTGTCTCTACAGCCAGGGAAGAGTGTCCTGCTGAGAAGCTAAGCTGTGGACCCACCAGCCACAAGTGTGTGCCTGCCTCATGGCGTTGCGATGGCGAGAAGGACTGTGAGGGCGGAGCGGACGAGGCCGGCTGTCCTACCTGTGAGTCCAGGGCCGGAATCCCATTGTCTGCCGAGCAGTCAGGCGCCCTCGGGAGCGGTGACCTCTTGAAGGGGCCTGTTTCTCTGTGGGGCCTGGAAGGTGGGCAGGGGAGAACAATGAGGAGGAGATTAGAGACGGCTGGGCACTTAGGAGCCATTTCCTTCTTTCATCCTCCCGACCACCTCATGAATAGCCACCACCATCCCCATTTCACGGGTGAGGAAACTGAGGCTCAGACAAGGGAGGAAACGTGCCCGAGGCTGAGGGATGGAACCGAGATTCAAATTCAGGTCTAACACACAGCTTTCTACCATGTCTGACATCTGCTCATCCATTCTACGAGTCTACCGATCTCCAAGCAAGCGCAGGGGAGCCAAAGACTGGGCTGCATGAAAGCGATGTCTCGTGCCGGGGGACTGGCAGTGCCGGGAACGGGGCATGGGGCATGGGGCATGTGCCGACAGAGTCCTGGGGTGTGAAGGACGACTGTTGCTGACATCTCAGACTGGGGCACATATCACATACAGAGAAGACATTCCCATCAGCCTCAGCAGGGACAGATGGAAGTGGTCATTGGGACAGTTCCACATGGCTGAACTTCAAACACAGGATAATCTCCTTCTCAGAGAGCAGGCCAGCAAGGTTTGGGCCAGGGGCAGGTGGGGGGGAGAGGGGGGCACATGATCTGGCTCATTTCACTTCCCTGGGTACCTACTATGTGCCAGGTCTGAAGGGGACGATAAGGTGGTCCTACAGTCTTCCCCTGGGGACTCCAGACTGGCCATGCTACTAGACTATGAGACTGGGTTGAAATTCAGGAGGGTGTATGCCAGGCACTTGCCCGCCACTGCCTCTCAGAGCATCTCCCCATCCCCACCCAGTCTCTCCTAGCCATCCTCCCTGGTCCAGGAGCAAGGCCATCTCCTCCTAAGGCTTCTAAGGTTCCAAATGTGGAGGACGGATGGGTCTGAAGCAGGATGTGTATGAATAGGGGTGAGGGTCCGGCTAGTGTCTGCACTTCAAAGCCTCAGTGATGGCACTGGCTTCAGCTGTGATACTTTTGTGAGAACTCATCCACCCATGCTAGTCCCCCTTTTTCCTAGACACCCCCAACCTTGTAATCAAACGAGTCTTCCAGTTTAAAGCCATCAACCACTATTGCAGGGAGCTGGGTTCGGGGGGGTACCTGACTAGGGCATGTTGGGACAGGGACTTCTGTTAATTATAGGAACCAAAGGTGTGAGAACAGCTTATCAGGCTCCCTGTGGCCTGGGCAGAGAAGGAATCCTCCCTTCTCCAGTTCTCTGAACCCCTCCCCTTTGTGAATGTAGGGAGTGGGATCCCTGGGCCCTCAGAACCTCGTTGAGAATCCACTTCCTGTCAGGACTCTCAGAAGACAGACCCTTCTCTCCCTGGGTGTGTGAAGCTGTGTCTAGACATGCAGGAGGGTGTCAGCAGCAGCATCTGGGGAGATGTGGGGGCACCAAAGAGCACATGCTTTTCCCTCTGATGCCCCCACATCCCAAACACCCAGAAGGGGGGAAAATGCAGCTGTCAGGAACTTGGTAGGGCTGTCAAGAACATGACAAGGTCTGCATACATTGTAACACTGAAGACATCACTTGATTTTATGTTCAGTAACAATGAAAATTGACATCTTGCCACCAGAAAATAGAAACATGGACTCTGGGCGCCCCCATATGGAAAGATATGGAGCTGCCACCACCATGTTGGTGGTCACAGCCACAGCATTCCTGACCCACCTGAGCCCCGAGGCCAATGTCTGGAGACATGAAAGAGAGGAGGCGAGGGAGTGGATGCCTTGAAAACACTCCAGAGAGAGAGGGAAAGCTGAGAGGCTGGGTCAGAGTAGGAAGGAAATGCCCCAAACCTGAGTTCTGGCTCTTGTTTCAGTGTGACCCTGAGCAAGGTGCTCGCTCCCCTCTCTGAGCCTCAGTTTTCCTATCCTGAAACTAGCACCTGGGCGGGCTGGTCTCTAAGGCCTTCCTGCGACTCCGGACTAGCCTATCAGAGAGGAAGCCCTGGTCCAGACAGGGCCAGGACCTGTTCTTTACTGAATTCATCCACACCCACATCCTACAGAGGTCTCTCTCTGGGCCAGTCCTTAGAATAATGGGGTATGAAGAAGGACACGTGGAGTGCCTGAGAAAGGCACATAGGCGGGCTGGGGCAGACGGAGATTTCCTAAGCTGGGAAACAAGAAGCATGGGTTGGCTGAAGGTGGGATTTGGACCTGTGAGGGGAAGACACAATGGCTACAGGGCAGAAATTCTGTGGACTTGGTGAAGTTGAGGAAGGGCAAGGTCAGTTAGCATGACTGAGCCTCTGCTTGGAAGTGGCAGTCTCTCATACCATGCTCCCTGTTCAAGTCTCCAACAGGACCTCTTCCAGCCTATAGGTGAGGGTCAGCACACCCTGTAGCAAGAGCTGGGCTGGGTCACGGGGGAATGGGATCCGGCCGGCCGACCGGCTCTCTGTCCTGCGCAGTGTGCGCCCCGCACGAGTTCCAGTGCAGCAACCGCTCCTGCCTGGCCTCTGTGTTCGTGTGTGATGGCGACGATGACTGCGGCGATGGCAGTGACGAGCGCGGCTGCTCGGACCCGGCCTGCCCGCCCCGGGAGTTCCGCTGTGGAGGAGGCGGTACCTGCATCCCCGAGCGCTGGGTCTGCGATCGCCAGTTTGACTGCGAGGACCGCTCGGACGAGGCAGCCGAGCTTTGCGGGCGAGCCGGCCAGGAGACCACGGCCACGGCGGCAGCCTGCGCCCCCGCCGCCCAGTTCACCTGCCGCAGCGGCGAGTGCATACACCTGGGCTGGCGCTGCGACGGCGACCGCGACTGCAAGGACAAGTCTGACGAGGCCGACTGCTGTAAGCCCCCTCCGCGCACCCAGTCCCACCCAGAGCCTGCTGATATGGCCCTCCTACCCGGAGTACATCCCCTGCTTTAACAGAGACTCACACTGGGAGAAGGAAGTGACTTGCGGGAGGTCACATGGCTGCTAAGGAGCGGAGCTCAGATCTGACCCCAGAAGCCAGGCACCTGTGTCTCAGCTGTGTGGCCATTCCATCACACCTGTTGCTGCCCCTCCCTGCTAGAGAGTCTGGCACTGGTCCCCCCTGCCCAGAGACCTCTGTCCTAGGAGTGGCTGCGTGCTGAGCCTGTCAGAGTCTGCTGACTGTCCCAGCTGTTGTTGGGTCCCTGACGGGACTTTGGCAGACCCCTGCTGCTCTCTTTGACAGGCACCACTCACGGTGATATATTCTCATCTGTGCATTCCTCATCTCTCTGCACCCAAGCTTCTGGAAAGGGGCTCTTAGTGTCCGGGCTCCCCACCAACACCCAGCACAGTGCCAGGCTCAGGAAGGGTTGACTGAGCGGACCAAATCACTGAGTCATGAGCACCAGGACTCAATGGAAACCACACATCTGTGCTGAGGTGGTGGGCAGGGAAACGGGACTGGAATGCTGTGTGACCTTTGGCAAGGCCTTCCCCCTCTCTGAGCTTCAGTCTCCCCATGTGTACGCTTGAGATGCTCTGGCTGGGTGTCCTCTGAGGCCTCCTAAGCTCGGTCACTGTTCCATTCTTTCCGGGGTGGACATGGCATGAGGCCGTGGGAAAGCTCCGAGCCCCGCATGGGTCCTGACCTCCTCTTGCCCTGTTTCAGCAGCACCAGGACCCTGCAGTGAGAATGAGTTCCCGTGTGGGGATGGGACTTGTGTCCTTGCAATCAAACGCTGCAACCTGGAACTGGACTGCCCAGATGGGAGCGACGAAGCTGGCTGCCTGCAGGGTGCGTGAGCTCCAGGCAAGGGTTGGCGTCCCCGTGAGGATGGACCCTCAGCTGAGGAAAGGCCCTGTCACCCTCCCTGGCCTGGAGAAAGCAGGGCTGGCGGAGTTCTCCCCTTGATCTCTGAGATACCCTTCAGCATCACTTACTTGCCCATTATCACTGGGGTTCTGGGGCACAAGAACTGGACTTTAAAAAAAAAAATTTTGTTTATAACGTATATGAATGCCCTATCTGCATGTACGCCAGGAAAGGGCATCAGATCCCACTATAGATGGTTGTGAGCTCCCGTGTGGTTGCTGGGAATTGAACTCAGTTCAGTGCTTTTAACCACTGAGCAGCCATCTTTCCAGCCCAAGAACTGGGCTGGTGATTAAGGACTTTGTAAAAGCTGAAGGAGGGCTAAGGGGATGTGAAACGCTGCGGGAAGACTCGCCTCCCCACTGTTTGTCCGCACCCAAGGCTTTCCTCACTGGTTCTCAGACTGAGCAGAGACTGAGTCCTGTCCTCCAAAGAGTCCTTCTCCTTCTCAGGTGGCTCTGCTGGTCACCACCCGCCCTACCGGAATAGAGGCCCTACCCACTAGTCATGGGGAGTCAGAGAGGGCAAACGAGGCACTGGGGCAAACGCTGCCCTTGGGGGATGGGCAGCCCCTGCTCAGGCTCTGTAGAGCTGCTGCACGGTCTTTCCCAGAACGGACAAAGACTCCTGCACGAGTGAGTGAGGGTCTGTCCTGTGGGAAGAGCTTCTACAGGCCCTGGCTCCACTGTCTGTCCTAGGGTCCCCTGAAAGGTCTATTAGGGCTGGCGCTTGAACTCCGTTCATTTCCTGTGGGCCTTGGTTGGCCCCGCCCAGCCTTGGTTGGCCCCGCCCAGCCGCGCCCCTTCCCACCCACTGTCTCACAGACACTGTCCACTCTCTTGTCTGGCCCGACAGAGTCAACTTGTGAGGGTCCCCGCAGATTTCAGTGTAAGAGTGGCGAGTGCGTGGACGGCGGGAAAGTGTGTGATGATCAGAGGGACTGCCGGGACTGGTCGGATGAGCCTCAGAAAGAGTGTGGTATGCTACCTGTCTACACCTAACAGCTGAACTAATGTTCTCACCATGCTCCCTCCTGGCATCCAGGCTCGAGGCCCTGTTCTGACCCTCTAGACCAAGTGCTATCCTGGGGCCTCACATTGGGCCGTCTGCTACTGGTATCTCTTGTTCTGGAATGCTGCAGAGCTCCAGGGACCTTTTCCTTTGAAGTCTAGATGCTCAAAGATTAGGCGGCTTCTTACGAAATGGGCCTCCCCACTCTGCCATATACAAACTGAGTATGTGCCCTCTACAAGTTTCTCTCTTCTTCTGTGTCCCTGCCCTGCTGATCTAGCCTTGGTCTTGGTCCTTGAGCTCTTCCGGTCCCTGGCAGAGTCAAAGGTTGGTAGAAGCCAGGGAGCCAGTCAGGAGCATATCCATCCAGGATCACTCCTCAGGCCAGGCCTGGATGGGAGCAGGGTACTCCCAGCAGCAGGCAGTGTCACCGTTCTAGAGCCTGAGACACTGGACTCGTGGGAGAGCTGAGGCTTGCAGTCTAAACTAGAGAGAAGTAGGGTGAGCTAGCCATCCAGCGACTGGCAAGAGCAGAGGCCCTGAGCTAGAGGTGGAGGAGGAGCCCAGTGTGTGAGCAGAAGAGTCTGTGCCCCATCTCTGCCTGTCTCAGGACAGAATTTCAAAGAACTGGACAAAGGAGGCCCCAGAAGACAGAGTCTAGGTTGCCCCTCCTTGTCCTCCCTCCTGGAAGACTGCCCAGCATCTCCCCTCCTGGGTACTCAGAGGAACATCCTGCCCCAGAGCTCCCCAGGATCAGCCTCTTTGCTCTCCTGAAGACTGAAAATGAAACCAGACTGGCTGGAAGGAAGAGCAGCTGAGGAAAGCTGGCTGAGCCTCCACCTGGGCTTGCAGAGACGACACTTCTGCCCCCAGAGCCAGCAGGGGTTTGCGAAAAGGGGGGCAGGGAAGCAGGGGCAGCTGACCCTAGCTTCCCCACACTCGGGTCTGCAGTTATCCAGGGACTACTAACCTACCCAACTTTCTTCTGCATGACATGCTAGAGAGAACTATGTCCTCGTTTCTGTCGGTGTGTCCTTTTGTCTGTGCTGGTGAAGAGACCAGTGTCTGTCTCCGCATCTCTGAATTACTGCATTCATGCATCTCTGCCTGCATTTCCATGTCTGTGGAGCCTGCAGACTTGTGTGTGCCTCTGCACTAAGCTAGTGTGGGTATGTGTGCGTATGCATGAAGGTGTGTGCATGCAAGTGTGTACTGTGCTAGGGAAAGTGACGTCAAATGCTATTCAGGCCTCTAGACCACCCTGTCCTCTTCCTTCCTCTCCCAGCTCTACCTACAAGCTACACAGAGTTAGGAACAGAGACTCTCTTCAAGACCTTCTCAAGAAGATCATCAGGGATCAATTAATTGGGGCCTCCTAGCTTTTTTCCTCTCAACCTGTGTTGGCCTTGGGTTCTCCATACCTTCATTCATCAAAAGTCACAGTCATTTTGAGCTCTTCCTGAGCAGTGCCACCTATACATACCACTTGGCTAAGTGTCCAGCAAACACTTTTGTCTACCTACAAAAGAGAGGAAGGAAGTGGGTGGGTGCACGATGGGGCTGTGAGTGAACGGGAGAACAAGTGAATGGATGGTGCTCGTGGAATGATAAAGCCCAAGACAGATGACAGAGGCTGTGGGGACCAGAATGATTCCCAGCGGTAGATGTGCCAGCAATCCCTCCGAAGCTACCGTGGCTCAAACCACCTCCAGAAGACGGGCTTCCCAGGGACGGGCCTGACGGAGCCCTCCTAGTCCCCGGAAGTCATGGGCTTGCTGTGGTCTTGTTCTTTCAGTTGCACCAACATTCCAGGGAAACAGGAGGAGGCCCAGGGGTAATGGGGACATTCCCTAAGCATGGCTCCAGCTGGAGGTGGGGACACCCACAGCTGTGCATGGCCTGGGATGGATGGGCAGCGCAAACCAGCTGCATGCATGGCCACAGCTGGTTCCACTCAGCTCTGCTTTGCTTGGCTGGAGTGGACACTTGCATGAACCTGGTGGGCCCTCTCCCCTGGCTTGTGGAATTAACCTTCTGTGATTCTGAGCTCAGGAGATGCTGTGAGAACTTGGTAAGCCTTGGTTCTGGCCTTCCCCTAGAACTCTCCAGAAGGTAGTGTAGTGAGGGCGTGGAGAATGAGGGAACCAGATCCAGATGACCTCCTGACATCCCCTTAGTAATCCTGGTCCAGGCTTGTGGCAAGGTAGATGAATGGGACAGGTCAAAGAGGAGCTGAAGAAGAAGCTCCACTGTGTAAGTCCTGGCAGGAGAGAGTCCTGACCGGCCGCAGGCACATGTAAAAGGAAGTCTGGCCTGGAGACTCAGCTGTAGCAAGTAAGGGCATTCTGCATCATCTGACTCCTGACTGGCAAACTAACTCTGGGCCCTGCCTTGTGAAAATATGGAAATGGTTGGGGACCAGAAGTTAGCACTTTACAGAGATCTGAGGGAGCCCCTGCCCCATGGCCAACCCTACCGAACAGAGCTGGAAGGAGGAGAAAGCCACAGGAGACAGCTTTATAAGACAGATTTATAGGCCCAGCACCATTCCAAAGTGGCGTCACCTGCCTTGGAGTGAAGAGGGCTCCTTGAAGCTGAGAATGGATGTGCAGAGGCATTCGGAAAGCATTTTGGGGGCGTTTCTCAAGGGGTGAACATACATTTAAGCTTAGAGGTTAGAAGGAAATGTACAAGAAAAAAAATGTGTTTGTGAAAGACCTCAGAGCTCCAGGAAAGGCCTAGCTACCTCTAGTCTGGTAGTGGATGGAACTCTGGCCTAGGCGGACAAGACTGACGCTCTCCTTGTTCCATTGGCTCTGTCTTGTCTAATCAGGGACCTGCCCTCTGATCCTCCTCCTTCCCAGTCACCTGGCTAATAAGGGAAAGGTTCAATGCAGCTTCCTGTCTTCCTGGCTCTGTGGGAGTCTGCTGCTCCAAGGCTTGGCTTTGCTCTGGGCCACTTCCCTGCCTGCCAGAGGAGTTCAGCAGCCTGTGTCCCCCCTCCCCCCACCAGGGCTGAACGAGTGTCTGCACAATAATGGCGGCTGTTCCCATATCTGCACTGACCTCAAGATTGGCTTTGAGTGCACATGCCCAGCAGGCTTCCAGCTCGTGGACCAGAAGACCTGTGGCGGTGAGCCCTCCCCCATCTGCCCAAGCAGATACAGACCCTCCTGCCGGTTCTGACTTGTGGTCTTTCCCACAGACATTGATGAATGCCAGGACCCAGATGCCTGCAGCCAGATCTGTGTGAATTACAAGGGCTACTTTAAGTGTGAGTGCCACCCTGGCTATGAGATGGATACACTGACCAAGAACTGCAAAGCTGTAGGTACGGACTCTCTAAGGAAGAGAGAACAACTCTGGAGCGAGGGGGGGGGGGTGTCTGTGAAGCACCAGACTACCACGTATGTGAGCAGTGTGGTTAAACGCACACACAGACACATAGAAAGCAGGTTGGTCATGCATAGTGCTCAAAATACAAGGACATGCACAATGCACTGCACGCTAACACCCACGGGCATGGTTAGAGCCACCCAGGATATCCTTTTGCACATCCGTCTGCACAGCACAGTGTAGGGGCACAAATGTGGGCCACACAACCAGCATAGGCAGTTCACATGAAGAGCATGACCTGTGTAGATCTATTATTGATCCGTTCAGTCGGCCAAGGTAATTATTTAATTCTTTATATTAAAAGCAGTAACATTGCTGTGGGCACTAGAGATTCAGTCAGAAAAGACAGAGACACCCTTGTTAGTGACGAAGACAGACAAAAAAGAAGATAGATAAATAAAATACAGTGTATGGCAGGGGGCAAGTAAGGGCTGACTACGGAGAAATAAAGTAGGAGGCGATGGAAACGTCTGGAGAGTGGTCGGCTATGGTTTCAAACAACAGTCAGGGAAGCCCTCACTAGATAAAAAGGACATCTGAGTGAGGACCTAAAGAGGAGGAGGAGCCCAGTAGTTACCTGCAGGAATGGCATTCCAGGCTGAAGGGAGAGAAAGGCAAACGCCCAGCTCTGACTAGATGGTGAGGGAGCCACTGCCTGGAGGAAGCTGGTTTCTGGAACAAGGAGGCTAGTGAGAGGTGAAGTCAGGTGACTCGGCATTCCCCAAAGCCTTCCAGACTGTTGTAAAGACTGATGTGACTTCTCCTGAGTCTGAGGGAAGCCCTCACAGGGTTCTTTCTGAGTGGAAGGGAAATGGAACATTTAAGTTCCACCTGGCTTCACCGAGCAGACGCTGAGGGCCAGAGAGAAGCCACACGTACAGTAGTACTCCAGGAGCAAGGCTGGAGCAGGAGGGCTGCTGTGGGAATACTGGGAGGTGAACAGATATGTGTACATTTTGAAGGCCAAACAACCGGCTTTGCTTATAAATTGATGTGGGATGCTAGAGAAAAATGAGCCAGAAGATTCCAAGGACAAAAAACTTAAAAAACAAAAACCAAATTGTTATTTCAGTATGTGAGAACGATGGGGAGAGAGGCAGGTCTGGGAGGAATGTAGACTGCTGGACATATTGAGCATAAGGAAACTGGCTCTCCACATGGAGGTATTAACACAGCTCAGTAAAAGTCTGGAGCCTCACACGAATACGTGATAGAACACATAGATTATGGTAACAATAGCTACAATACTTGACATGAAACCCACAGAGCCTGAAATATTAATATTAATGTATAACAAACATTAACACATCACATGTAACCTGTCCTGTCTTCTATATGGGACATGAGTAACGTGGCCTATATATGTGCAGTAGAGATAACATGCTGGATATATACACCAAATCCATCCATATCTAAGGTGTAGTTATAAAAAAATCAAATAATAAACACCAAGGTCCCTATTGCTGACACAGTTCTCATTAAAATTCACAAGTTGCCCCCTAACCCAGCCTATCACTTCAGAGAGGTAAAGTCATGGCTATGTTTGAGGTGAAGAAAGTTCTGGTTCACTGGTGACAGAGCAGGCCTAGAACCTAGCTTTCCATCTGATACTTCCTGCACCGTGAGCCCTGTTTTCCCGACCGTTTGTATCACCACTTCGCTCTTACCCCCCTGCCTTGAGATGGTTTCCATCACTGCACGCTATACAGCCCCAGCTCCTACATAGCTCTCTGTACTGGGCCCATCCTGTCCCCATCCAGCCTGGCACAGATGCACAGAAACAGGGACCAGGTGGCTGACAGAAATGTGTACTGGAAAACATGGGAACTGTGTCTGAGAATTGTGTGATGCATTTCAAAACCACCTGGGGGTGTGGCAGTGCAAGGTCCTTAAAGACCTCAGGGACAGCAACCTCCAGATGGAAGTCAAGAATATCTAGGTCTCACATGATCTAAACCTAACTCTAGAGTTCAAAAATGGGTTTGATCTATACATGGCCAGTTGTATGTTCTGTCCAGGGCATGTATGTGATCTTGTCAGATGCCATTTATATCCTGTTTCTGTAGATGGCTGAACAAACTTAACCCAGCCTATCTTTCAGGGATCTCTATTGCTCAGGTGGGCCATCCTCGCAGGATGACAGGTGGAGCCCCAAGCAGAAAGGGTAGTGACTGCTGCAAAGAGTCACACTCTGGGACAAGGGAAAGACGTGAGAAGGGCCGGGGCAGTGAAGCTTGGTGGGGAGGAACGCAGAATGGCAGGTAGTTTAGCTGGAATCCAGGATGGGAGGAAGGCCAATGGGCTAGACAGGCAGCAGGGTTGGGCTGCAAAGGCCCCAGTGCAGGAGTGAGGACTGCAGGGACTTGTATCTAGTAGAGACTAGAGCTCCGGCTGTGTGCTGGTGCTCATTTTCTCCACTGCCCTTCCAGCCTGTGAAGTAGGACCGTCATTCCTACTTCATAGGCAAACAAGGCCTCACCCAGCAAACTAGTGGTGGGAACTTGATCTTTATGGACCCCCTGCTTCCTCCATTGACACTGCTTCCTTACATGGCAGCTGGCAAGAGCCCATCCCTAATCTTCACCAACCGACATGAGGTGCGAAGAATAGACCTGGTGAAGCGGGACTACTCGCGTCTCATCCCCATGCTCAAGAATGTTGTGGCGCTGGACGTGGAAGTAGCTACCAATCGAATATACTGGTGTGACCTTTCCTACCGCAAGATCTATAGGTAAGTGGCATGCACCCTGCAGCCAGGCCATGAGAGGCTTGAGGGAGGGGCTATTTTCAGAGAAGAGGAGGCATGGCCGCTGCCGCCGCCTCTGGGGACAGAGTTGGGCTTGAGAAGGGATACAGAATCACAGTGTCAGTAGAAGTACCAGGACTTCATCAACCTGCACCAGCACAGGCTGAGAGCTGTTGTGGGAAAACACCATTGAGCCCACATCCTAGACTGTGTCTGACCCCTGGTGGCAGAACAGTGAAGTACAGGACAGAGGAGACCTACAAATCAGGCCACTTATCTGTGTTCTGGACCCTGAGGACTCAAGATGACTAAGATCTGACCTCTGCCTGGAGGGTCCCATGTACACTAGTGGACCACCTTCTTTGCAGTCATGAGATGAAGGTAGAAAGGAGACCTCTGACCCAATTTGGTGGTTGGGAAAACTTCCTGGATGGTGGTATCCCAGTGGTCACTGGGATACTCTGATCCCTGGCTGTGACCTCAGCCGTGGACTTTAGCATTTGGGAAACTCCTTGGACAGTTGAGAAAGTTCTCTCCTAGGTCTGTCTCAGATGCCATATCTGGCCTTCTTGGATAACCAGGCATTGGGTAGATACTGAGTCACTGTAGAAAGATGGGGTAGGTGGGGAGGTGGGGAGACAGGAAGACAGAAGCAAACTACCAAGTGTGATTACTGACAGCTGGATTCCTGCCTCCCACAGCGCACATGCGCATACTGAGTTCATGCCTTACATACACAGAAGCATCTAGAGCCTGTCCAACATGCGTGCCTGGGAAGCAGGGTTTGATGAGAGACTGGGCATGGGGCTGAATGAGGCATCACCCGGACTAACTCACCGGTTAATTTGGGGAGTCTCAGGAATCTGGCTTGGGGTTTTTATCTGCTGTGCTGCTCTTTTATTTGGGACACATAGGAGATCAGAGATTGGGGCTTGAGGGACAGGAATAGAGATGAGCAGTTTGCAACACTCTGAGTAGAGGTACCCACGGGCTAGCTTAAGAGTGCTTTTCAGTCTGGACCTGAAGAGGACTGTAGAGTCTACAGCCAGGACTGTAGAGTCAGAATGATGGAGGGCGGTGGACAGTATGGAAGTGATAACACGGAGAGAGAATGGTGAGGGTGAGCGAGGGAACGGCGGCCTGGAGGCAACAGCATTTGGGAAGCCAAGTCCTGCCACTGGTGCCCACTGTTGGTATAGTCAGTTCTCTGCACTGCACAGCCTTCTGCAGACCTCTTTATCTCACCTCTGCATGTCATAAGCTCCCCCTCAGCTTTCCCTTCCTTTCAAATCCATCCATTCCCCGGGTGCCATGCTGAGCTAACGTGCCCAGCTATGTCCTTGAACTCAGTGACCTGCCTCACCCTTGCCCCGAGAGAAAGTCTTTAGCAGTGCACTCACAGCTATCGGGATGTGGTTCTTGCCTGCACTTAGTTCCAGTTTTACATCCCACAGCAAACACTGCATCACCCCAGAACATGCTTCCTTCTGCACTTGCATATACCGGCCTCTTTGTGGGTCTGGCTTCACCTTTTGTGCCCTTGGTGATCTAGTCCTTCAGGACTCAACCACAAGGCTTCTCCCGCTCTGCAGGACCATGCAGTCTCCATTCCCCTGCTGCTGTAGCTTCCACACTGCATTGTATCTGCCTGCAAGCTTCCTCCCCCACTCACTGAGCTCCACCAGGCCTGTGTCCCTGCCCTGGTGGCTCAGGGAGTATGTTGAGTGGAGATTAGTCAAGTTCCTCTCAAGCCCACTGCTGTGGCGCAGAGAGAAGACAAAGGGGGAGGGCTGCAGAGGCAGCTCCCCATGGGCCCATGGGTGGAGCATCTGCCCATGGCCAGCCCTGCTTTCTCCTAAGCGCCCACATGGACAAGGCCAGTGTCCCGGACGAGCAGGTGGTCCTCATTGACGAGCAGCTGCACTCTCCCGAGGGCCTGGCGGTGGACTGGGTCCATAAGCACATCTACTGGACCGACTCAGGCAATAAGACCATCTCAGTAGCCACAGTCGATGGCCGCCGCCGATGTACTCTCTTCAGCCGTGAGCTCAGTGAACCCCGAGCCATTGCTGTTGACCCCCTGCGAGGGTGAGTATTCCCGCTCAGCTTTCCGTCTCACCAGTATAGGTGTTGTTCTCGTGTGTCTAAGAGCCGTCGAGGGGTCAAGAAGCCTGTGGGCCAGTCAGACATAGGGAAGAAGTCCCGACGGCCCTCATCCTATTCTCCTCCAGCCCGGGTACTGGGCATTAGCCACCAGAGATCTCCCTGGACTCTTGGCTCCTTCACTGTGTCACTGCAGTGGCACATCTTGGAACACTACACACTCCTGGGAGCAGCTCCCGGGGTAGAGGCCCTTTAGGCTTCTGTAGGTGGGCGTCTGGCAGCTGCTTAACCTTTTCCAGGGACAAAGAACTCACGACTTTTCATGGAGACTATTTCATTGTGGGATACCTATCTACCCCATTACACCGAGGAGTTTTTCCTCCTAATTCCAAAGCTGTCCCCCTCTAGCTTTCCCCAGAGGGGGTTACATAAGCCACACACTCAGCACAACCAGGAAGAGCCGAAGACTAAGGTCACCGGGGCCGATCTGCTCCTAGCCCTCACCTCCCCCCACCTTGCTGCTGCTCACTGTGTGGGCTCCCTACCACCGAGGCTGCTTCATTCTGGCCACACCTAGGTGGGGGCTTAGGAATCCTGAACAAAACAATGCCTTCTTCCTCCCTCAGTGGAAATGGTCCTTCTTCCTTTCCTTGGTTGTTAAAAAGAGATAAGGAAACCCTCTTAAATCCTATTGAGAGCAGCCTCATGAAAGAGTGAATCAGTAACAGTGGGCTGTTATGAGCTCTAGTAGAGATGAGGGCCTAGGAGCAGGGACCTGAGTTAGGATGGTCATCTCCTTTCTTCTGTAAATCAGGAGAGGTTTGCAAGGATCCCTCCCACATAGATGCCCCAGGGCTGGGCTCACAGGCTGTTCAGCTGAGACTGGGTAGATTGGGGGTAAGCCGAGCTTCTCCAGGCTCTCATGAGATGAAGGTTAAGGTGCCTTAGTTCTAAGATTTGATAGTCCCAAATATTTTAAAGGTTTCCCCATTAAATACAATCCTCAACTATTCAGTGGATCACTGAGCCTTTGTGACTCAGACCACCCCAACTGTCCCAGACAAGAAGCTAAATTTGGGCTCTTCTATCTTTCAGGTTCATGTACTGGTCTGACTGGGGGTTCAAGGCAAAGATTGAGAAATCTGGGCTCAATGGTGCAGACCGGCAGACACTGGTTTCAGACAATATTGAATGGCCCAATGGAATCACCCTGGGTGAGCCTTGCCTGTCTACCTGAGTTGGGAGCCTGCACTAGAACTGATCCTGACAACTGTTAGGAGTCCCGTGGGTCTTGCTTCAGTGTCCCCTCGTGGTGGCCAAGTGGCTTTGTTCCCTCAGGCTAAGTTCCGCGTGGGGCCTGGGAATGTGGGTAGAGAGGAGTGCGGTGGGCAGAGTGCAGCCGCGGTCACGGGTGTCTGACCTGACCCCTCCTCCTCAAGACCTGCTGAGCCAGCGTCTCTACTGGGTGGACTCCAAGCTGCACCAGCTGTCCAGCATTGACTTCAGCGGCGGCAACAGAAAGATGCTGATTTTCTCCACTGACTTCCTGAGTCACCCTTTTGGGATAGCTGTATTTGAGGTGAGCCCTAAGGGGGTAGGCATGACCCTGCTGGGAATCTGAAACCTAGAAAAGGCTTCTTCAAATAAGATGCTTCTCTGAGACTTGTCCAAAGGGAAACCACAGAACAGGGAAGCCAACTGGCATGCTTGTATGCACTCTGAGAGCTGCCTACACAGAGGCTCTGCAGCCCTGCCTGCCTGGCAGCCTTTCCTGTGCCCTCTCCCCAAGAGCCTCGTTCAGAGAAGGTCACAGGAAAATTATTCGGCACTGATGCTTCTTCTCCACATCCTTAGCACCTAGCACTCTATGTCATATCAAGGCACCTAACCAAAGGAGGAAGGGGAAGGAATATGTCTTTCCTTAGAATCATTTAGTATACGACACATCCTGAGAGATGCTATGCAATTCAGCTCAGTTCTGTTGACCTTTGCCGAATCCTGGGGTCATAGAAGTAAATCAGACACTATCCGAGCTCTCAAGACGCTCTCAAGAAGGTAGAGTCCAGAAGTCCATCTGCCTTGACCCTGTCATCCTTTCTACTTGGGAAATAAGAAAGCCAGAACCTACCAGAGTTTCTTACACTCTTCCAGCTCTTCCCCAAACTAACCCTGCCATCAAGGGAAGGCAGAGTGAGGAGATGATGGCCTGTGGTGGGCAATGCAGTCTTTTCTTAGAGCAGCTTCATTCAGTACTGCTTGAACTTGTGAGCAAAGTATCTCCTCCAAATCTAGCCCCTGCTTCAATTCAAATGTACTGGACATGTATGTGTACTTGAGCGTCTCCCTGGCATGTGTAAAGTACATGTAATGTGCATGTATCTACATAAATGCACCAGAGTAAAAGTGTATGTTCCCGAGTGTAGCTTTATGTGTATGCACACTAATAGAGGAACTTCATGAGTATGTCTTTGTGAGTATAGATGGACCTGTGGGGTATATCTGGATCTGTGGACAAGATGCATGGTTGTATCTGTAATTGTGGATTTGCCTACAGATGCATATCCAAGCTTCTATGGACTAACCATATAAACTTATGTGTATCCTCGCAGGAGGCCCAATAGCAGCTACCCCTCAAGAACTTACACGTTCCTTCTGATCTTAGTCCTAAGCCACGGGAATGGTACTAGTTATGGAGATCCAACCTTGGTTTTCTTTGGCTCCAGGAAATCAGCCTAGCTCAGCTGTAGAGTAGGTTTGGCCTTCTGGTGAAAGCACAGAATTACCAAATAATCAAAAAGAAGGAAACAGGAGAGTTAGTGTCATCTTCAGAGGCAAAGAGTCCTCTGAAAACCTGTGGGCGGGGTAGGTAGCTCTGAGAAGCTGTCTGTTCAGTTCTTCCTGATTTAGGGCTAGGCCCTAAGACTGGGATCATGAGCTGAGATTCTGGGCTCCCTATCCTTTACATCTGTATTCCACAGGACAGGGTATTCTGGACAGATCTGGAGAATGAGGCCATCTTCAGTGCAAATCGGCTCAATGGCCTGGAAATCTCCATCCTGGCTGAGAACCTCAATAACCCACATGACATTGTAATCTTCCATGAGCTGAAGCAGCCAACAGGTAAGTAAACCTTCCCTGGTCCCTGGTGGCCTGCCTGTGTCCTCTCCTGCCATTTGGCAGGCTGTGTCTGCTTCCATTCATGCCATGACCCAGCATCCCCAGGAATACAGTTATTCCTCTCATAGAGCATGTTGCCATCTTGTCTCATTTTGTTCCAGCCTCTGTGTGAAGCAAGGCTAGGAAGAAATGAACACATAAGTTTCCTAGTTTTGTTTATTATTTTTCTCTTTTTTGTTTGTTTGTTTGTTTATTTGGAGCTGAGGACCGAACCCAGGGCTTTGCGCTTGCTAAGCAAGCGCTCTACCACTGAGCTGAATCCCCAACCCCTTACTTTTCTCATTCAATAACCAAGTGAACTGAAGCTCAGAGAGAGAAAACGATGTTAACAGGTGGAAGAACGAAAACAGAAATGCAGAGCTAGCTGACTGCAAAGTTCCATTGTCGTGACACGCCGCTCACTTCTTGTTCACACTTCTTGCACCCGTTTTGCAGCAATATAGAATAATGTGTCTTGAGGCCTTACAGCGAGCCAGGTGGCTCACTGGGAACAGATGTCGTCCTCTTACTACTAGGTCGTCTCCTCCTCTGTCACTCTAACTGGGGGAGGGGGACAGCAAGGGGCAAGGAGGTAAGTTTGGTGCCTGATTCTAGTTCTAGGAATTTAAAGAAGAAAGAAGTGACTTGAAACATAGAGGAGGAAAAAACAAGACAAAACAGTAAGGGGTGGTAGTTTGGGAGTCAGTCTACCTCAATTTAAATCTGTCTCCACAATTCCTAGGGTTGTGATTTGTACATTTGTTCTCTGAAGTAGGCTTAGCTGTCAGTCGAGAACGTAACACTTAGCTCTCAGAACTGCAGGAACTGAATGAGAGTATGAATAAAGTACCAAGTGCTGTGCTGGTAGGTCTGAGCAAGCCCAGTTGGTGGGATCTCATTCTTGGTAGACAAGAGGACCTGGCATGGCCTGTCAGTGTCCCAACACTGTCTGTCTGTCCCTCCCCCGCCATCAGCTGCAGATGCCTGTGAACTGAGCGCCCAGCCCAATGGCGGCTGTGAATACCTGTGCCTTCCTGCTCCTCACATCTCCAGCCACTCTCCCAAGTACACGTGTGCCTGTCCTGACACGATGTGGCTGGGCCCAGACATGAAGAGATGCTACCGAGGTTGGTGACAGACATTGCCCTTGGCTTCTGGTTTTCCTCCATCTTCCCTGGTTGCTTGGTACATTTGCATATTCCTCTTTTTTAACCCTCCTTGAACGCTTGAGTTACTGGGAGCCTTCTAAGGCTCTCCCATCTCCCAGAAAAGTACACATATGCATAAAGTATTTTAAATTCAACTTTCAGGAAGTTTCTGGAATCCCCTGAAAACTTCAAGTTAATGGGGCTGGAGAAGGCTCAGTGGTTGAGAGCATCTGTTGCTCTTGCAGAGGACCCGGGTTCAGTTCCTAGCACCCCTATGGTGGCTCATGGCCATCCTAAACTCCAGTTCCAGGGAGCAGGGGGTCCAATCCTGATGCCTTCTTCTGACCTCTGAGGGCACCAGGCAAGCACATGGTACACAGGCAAAACACCCATAGATATAAAATAAATCTTTTTAAAAAGAAAGAAAGAAAATCTCGAGTTATAAGCTCTCGATCTCCACATCTCCACCGACTGTTTCTACACAGATGGCTGTGCTTGCCTGTTTCTTAGCGAGACCTAGCACACTGCACAGAAGCCCTTGCAGTACGACTGTAACTAATGGTGGGATAGCACTTCATCCTCATAAACAGGGTTGATTTCCCATCTCCATATAGAGCCAAGGCCTTTGGCTTGATCATTCAGTCTGTTGCATCATTTATAATGTCCAGGTTCAGCTGTTGAATGTGAAGAATGTAAACCTAATGAGGTAACTCTATATTAGGATAAAATGCTTACAGATCTGTATGGTTTCTGCTTCCTCTAGTCTTTTACAGAGGCCTCCTCCACACTTACTTCTACAGCACTGTTTCACTGACTCATCAGATCAAAGTGAAGTGCTAGGATTCAGGACTCAGCTGAAGAGAAGATCATGGCCCATTCAGGGGGATGAGGGAAAGGTTCACAAAAGTGGTATCTGAGCTAAACCCAGAGGATGAGTCCCTCCATGTAACTCATAGCAGCAATAATTTAGGCACGAAAGCAACAAACTGCTCTGTCTAAGTGACCTCCCTGGTCTTCCCCCTCTAGCACCTCAGTCTACCTCAACTACAACGTTAGCCTCTGCTGTGACAAGGACAGTACCTGCCACCACAAGAGCTCCTGGGACAACCATCCATGACCCCATCTACCAGAACCACAGTACAGAGACACCAAGCCGGACAGCTGCTGTCCCACACTCAGTTAGTGTCCCCAGGGCTCCCAGCATCAGCCCGTCTACCCTAAGCCCTGCAACCAGCGACCACTCCCAACACTGTAAGGAAATTGCCTCTGCATGTTTTCATGACGTGGGGGAGTCCTGTGGAAGCTAGGATGAAGGTTGGGGGTGGCTGTGAAGAGAGATCTTAGCAGAACTAAGTAATGCCCACCTCTTAGGAGGAAGCAAGGGAGGGAGGAAAGGGCCATTCTGGGATTGAGGAAAATGGGTGCCCATAACTTTGAAAGGGCCTGGAGGCAAATATTCATTCCATCTCTGAGCCTCAGTTTCTTCCCCTAAAAGAAGCAAATAATAAGCTACCCCCTACTTGCTTCTTAAGATGCTCAGGAGAGGCAAAGGAGCCTGGTACGGTAGTGTACATCTTTAATTTCAGCACACAGGAGACAGGCAGGTGCATCTCTGAGAGTTTTAGGCCAGCCTGGTCTACGTAGAGAGTTCCAGGCCAGCCAAGGCAACATGGTAAGACCCCTGCCTCAAGAAGGGGTGGGGCAAAATAGGCATTGTAAATGGAAGTGCCTGCTGCCTAGGTGTATGTTAGTGTTTCATGAGTTCCTGAGGTGGGTGTCAACAAGTTTGGAAAGCTCTAATCTGAGCTTCCATCAGTCTTGGTGAGTCTCCTAGACAGTAACATCCATAACTCTGATCTGCTTGTGCCTGTTTCCAAACCCTGGGATAAATTTATTAAGCTCACCATCTCTTAAATCATTGGAAGCAGTAATTGTCTCCGTTGGAACTGTTCTATCTCATTAACCAGAAAATACCCTTGTAATTACTAGGGGGAATTCTTTTTAAAGGCTAAACCATCCCTCACATTTTTTCCATACATGACTGGCCCAGAATCCAAGCAACCTGCTAACACCCTTCAGATCAGGGCTGTTTTGCCAGCAGAAGCTGGATTCTAAGAATAGCGTATTCACCCTGGTGTTTGCAGAGGAGGTGGAACTCCATTTCCTCTCATCTGGGGCAGGGCTCGGAGCCGTCCTCACAGGCCCCAGGAAGTTCTAGCACATCACAGCAAGAAGACAGCAGTGCTTCCGATTAGTTTGTTTGGGTTATTTTTCTCTTTTTCCTTTCCTTTTTTTTTTTTTTTTTTGGTGTGTGTGTGTGTATGCATGTACATGTTCATGTGTATGGGTGCACATGTGCATGTACATGCAAAGGCCAGAGATCAACTTTGAGGGTCTTCTCAATAGTTCTCCATCTTAATTCTTGAAGCAGAGTCTCTCGTAGAACCTGGAGCTCACTGACTGAGCTAAACTGGCTGGCCAGCAAGCTTCAGGTTTCCTCCCGTCTCTCCTCAGTGTGGGACTACGGGCACATGCTGCCCCCCTGGCTTTACACGGACTAGGGAGGGAGCATTATTCACACCCTCATTCTTACATGGCAAGCACCTAACAAGGGAGCCATCTCTGCAGCCCCTCCAGTTAGCTCTGTAAGCAGCACAGCTCTCTGATTGGTCAGATTTGCCTGAGGTGACTTGGAGAAATAGATTGAAGGATGGGTTTGGGGACATTGCCAGGAGCACTCATCACCTTATGTGAAGCAAATATGGCTAGATGTTAGGTTTCATGCCTCAGAGGGCTCTCACGGGATCCCATGGGATAATGCTGTACAGATGTCACAGGGAAGACGGTCGTGAGTTATCAAAGGAATTCAATTAAATACAGTCGGTTTTCAAGCACTCTCCAGTTTAAGAGTGTGCTTTTCTGTGCCTTTATCAATGACAACAAGAACATCTATTTAGAGATAGGGTCTCACTATGTAGCCTAGCCTAGTCTGAACTTGAGGTCTTCTTTCCTTACCATCCTGAGTGGTGGGTTATATGCATGCACCACCATGCCTGGCTAACATACCTTTTTAAATTTAGCCCTTATAACAACTCCTAACCCCCTCACTACCCTCTTGAATTAGGCAAGGCCAGCTAGACATTGTGCTGAGTATCTTATATGAATCACCTCATTTAAACTTTAAATGTATTCTGAAGAGGTAGAAAATATTTTAAGATAAATATAATGCACATTATATGTCTCATATTATATTAACTTTCATAGTATCACATAGCTAATGAGTAACAGACATAAAATCTGACCCCGGGAAGCCTGACCCAGAAGCCTATGCTCCTGATTACAGTCTACTACAGTCTAGTGTATCTCATTTTAATCTGTTAAGAAAACAAGCTGGAAATGCAAATAACAGGCAGACCACCAAAACCAGTGGAGACAATGTACTGGATTTTGTTTGAAAAGACAGCTGACCCTATCAGCAACAAGGAGACCTAAGCACTACTCACCTGCCATGCACAGCCCCCAGCTTCCTACCATCCTGATGTTAGGGAAAGAGTATAGGGCTTGAGTCGTGAGTCTTGAGTTCAAGTCCTAACTCTGCATTTATCAAAAATTAGTTTGCCATATGTGAAATAGAAATAACCTCTGTCCTGTCTGCCTCAGGAATTCTGATGAAATGTAGTAAGACTGAATTATTACATAGTAGCTGGGATCTTCATTTTAGAGTGAGGACAGAAGAGGGTGGATGGTTCTTATAGCTTGGGGCTAGTAAAGGCTTGGATTCCCAGTGGCAGAGTTCACTCTGGAAATGTTGGTGTTTTACAGATGGGAACGAAGGCAGCCAGATGGGCTCAACAGTCACCGCTGCTGTCATTGGGATCATCGTGCCCATAGGTGAGTGTGGCCCCAGTCCATGGAGGGCAAAGGACTCTTTGCCCGAGCTTTGGGGAAGGCAGTAGAGGGATAAAGAACTGCATGCTGCCTGGTTCAGTTTGGGTTCTTGTGTGGCACATGGTACTCTCCAGCTTCTGGCCCTGTGTGAACATCCAGGTGCATCTCCCTGCCTGCCTCTTCACACCCCACACTTGCACCCTGTAAAGACCAAATAAATGCTCTCTGGGGACCCAGCTGGTGTCTCTTGCTCACCACTCACCCAAGTTCCTAGCAATGGCTGGCACATGATAGGGAATTCTATGATTGTTAACTCATGAGCCAAACTGTTTGCCATTTCTTGAATAAATAATCCTGTCTTGTTTTCTTTCTCTGCTTTTCAATAAACATTTATCAAGCAGCTACTATGTGCCAAACTCTAGTAAGGAAAGGGAAGGTAGTGAAAGGACATGCCAGACACGGTCCTGTCCAAAAGTCTATGGTCTAGCAGGGTAACTCAGTGAGTGGGTCCAAGCACTTGCCACCAAGGCTGACTACCTGAGTTCTACCCCTGGACGTCACATGGTGAAGGAAGAGTTGGTTCCTGCAGTCTGTCCTCTGATCTCCACACACCCACCTTGTATGCACTGCCCCCCCCCACTACTTAAATAAGTCTAATTTTAAAAGGCAGCAGTTTATCCAAGGGACACATGTAACACAGGTTCATTAGGACATGACAAATCATAAGAGTAAAGCTATGTTACTGAGTTGAGTGGGGATGCCAAGGAATCACCTGGTCTTGAAGGGAAGAGGACAGGCAAAGTTTCCCACTAGAAATACTCCTTGAGCTGGGTTGGCCAAATGAAAAAGAATCAAGAGCAGCCCAAGTAGTGCAGACAGCATGAGCAAAGCCAGGAGTTGGGGAGGCATGGGGAGAGTTAGGGAGGTTGAACTAGGAGTTCAGAATGGCAGCGCAGTCCTGATTAAGACTCAGAACCTGGGGCTGACTCATTTTCTCCCACTCCAATATTCATGTGTCCTGTGCGTACATTCTCTCATGCCTGCCTCATGTCTTAGCAGTATTTTTGAGTTGGATTACCCATTCTTAGGTTTATCTCCTACCTTAAGGTTACTATTGCTGTGATGAAACACCATGATCAAAGCAACTTGGGGAAGAAAGGGTTTATTTGGCTTATGCTTCCACATCATAGTTCATCATGGAAGGAAATCAGGGCAGGAACTCAAGCAGGTCAGGAACCTGGAGGCAGGAGCTGATGCAAAGACCATGGAGGAGTGCTGCTTACTGGCTTGCTCCTCATGGCTTGCTCAGCCTGCTTTCTTATAGAACTCAGGACCACCAGCCCAGGGATGGCCCCATCCACAATGGGCTGGGCCCTCCCCCATCAATCATTAATTAAGAAAAATGCCCTACAGATTTGCCTACAGCCCGATCTTATGGAGGAATTTTTTTCCCCCTGAGACAGGGTTTCTCTGTGTATCCCTGGCTATTCTGAAACTCACTCTGTAGACCAGGCTGGCCTCAAACTCAGAGATGTGCCTGCTTCTGCCTCCCCAGCACTGGGGCTAAAGGAGTGTGCCACCACTGCCCGGCTAGAGGCATTTTCTTAATTGAGGGTCCCTCCTTTCATATGACTCTAGCTTGTGTCAAGTTGACATAAAACTAGCCAGCACATCTCCCATACGGACTTTGTCCTTTTATAAGTCACACACAGTAGATACTAAAGCATGGTATATATAATGTGCTATAACAGAGGTATGACAGATACATAGGTATGATATAACAGTATCTTGATATTCCTGTGGAGGAAATAGGAAGTCCCAGAGTGGAAGTGATGGTTCTAGAGAAGACAGAATTTGAATTGGTCTTGAAAGGGCTCAACACAAAAGATGGCGGAGAGACTACTGTTCTAGTTTGTTTTGAATGACCCTGTTCCTGCCATCTATGTGGCTTTCTGCTTGCTACAACCCTCCCGCCCCAGAAAGAATCAGTATTTAAATGTCTACTAATCTGAAGGGGAAAAGAAGAGTATTATTTCTACAAGAAGTAAAGTTAGGTTTTCATAAGTCTCCTGGCCATTTATTTGCATGTAATTCTGTATGAATTGCCTACTCACAGTCTCATTTTTTTTTCCTTTTGGTTATCTTATTTGTAGAAATACACAATAAATATTAAAACCACAATAATATATAAACAAATATTTTCTCCTAGTCTGACACTTGATTTTAAATTTGCTCATGGTATCTTTCATAAATTTACATTTTTAAAGTACCAGATCTGTTAATCTTTTGTTTTGTGAGTTCTGGATTTTCTGTCTTGTTTAGAAAGGCCCATTTCATTCTGAATTATTAAAATGTCTCCTAATATTTTCTTCTATTTAAATTCATGTCTATACATGCTAGCCTGTGTGGTTCCCTTCACCTATTATCTGTCTAGACCCATAGACTAGCAATACTTTATGATATGTGATTCTTGTAAACATTTTCTTAGATGTTCTCATGTGACTTCTCTTCTAAATGAACTTTAGAATAATTGTGCCACTTTGTAAAATGTATGATAGGGTTTTTATTGAACATACTTTGGTATATACATTTATGTAAGGGGAATTTTCATTTTCACAGTATCAGACTTCCCCATCTAGGACCTGACATCTCGATTTAAGCCTTCATGCCTGTCCTTTAGCAGAACTTGATAGATCATATCACATTTGCCTACTTCTTGTTAGCTTGCCCCAGGTATTTCATAACTTTTATTGGGTCATTATGAATGTGCTTATTATTTCATGGCATTTTCTAATTGGTTATTTATTTGGGGAATTATGTTTGTTTGGATGGATTTTTTTTTTTTGAGACAGGGTTGCAGAGACTCTGTAAGCCAGACTTGTCTGAGCTCACTGTGTAGTCCAGACTGTCCTCAAATTCATGATAATTTTCCTGTCTCAGTCTCCTGAGTGCTGGAATTGTAGGTATGAGCTACCACATGTGGTATTCTAATGTGTTACTGCTTACTAAAAAGAAAGCTATTGATTTTTTAGTACTGATTCTCAATGAACTCAATTATTTCTAAGTCTTTTTATCTGCTTCTCTAACACTAAGTTTTCCTCATTGCTATCTTTAACTATGGTATTTTTACTCAGACAGAAACCCCTCTGCAGCATCCTAAATAGTTTCTACTGATATGCTCAACACCACTACTTACTTTGGTGGGCACAGTCTTGGAAACTCCCTTCCTGTAGGTCACTCAGGGTTCCCTCTGTACATGGCCATTGAGTTCTTGCCCATTCCCATCATCTTGATCTAACTCTTTGATTGCATTCTTGCCAGTTCTAGAAGACCTGTCCCTCAAGCTGGAATCAAGCATATGTTCCTTCGTAGGCCTTGGCCCTCAAAATACAGGACACCCTTTCCTTTGTTCTCTCTGGCCAAGGGACAGAATGTGCTGGGCCTTGACTTCACCATCGGTCCAACAAGGACTAAGCTGCTTAGTGTTTTTACCTTGCTCTGAAGTCTTCAACTCAAACCTATGTTGCCCTTCTATATCCCCTTCTAGAGGCACTCTTCATCTGACGGAGCCTTAGCTTTGGGAAGACATGCAATTTTGAGGAAGAGTGACTCTCTCCCTCTTTTTTGAGGGAGAGTTCCAGAAAAGCAGTAGCATTAGGGTACAGGTGTAAGCAGACGTTTCTCAGCCGTTTACCATGTGCCACCTAGCACCTCCTCAGAGCTAGGCATGGGTACAGAGAGAGGTAAATAAGCACACCCTGGGCTGGAGAGATGGCCCAGTGGTTAAGAGTGCTTGCTGCTCTTCTAAAAGAGTGGAGTTTATCTCCCACCATCCATGTCAGGTGGCTCACAACCAACCGTAAGAGCAGTTATCAGATGCCTTTTCCTGGTCACAGGAAATATGCATATGTATACACTCGCACACATACATACATACATACACATAAAAAATAATAAAAATCAATCTTTTTTTTAAGTTAGAACAGCCCTCAAAGGCTCACTCCAATTGAGAGAACAGATGTTTAGAAAAAAGGAAGACACCTATGGGAGCAGCAGAGTCTTTCCAGAGCAGTTGGGAAAGACTTAATTCATATTTGAGCTGGATCTCAAAAGATGAACAATTAATAAAGGGAGGCAGTGATGGGAAGACATTCAAGCAGGAGAAAATGAGCATACAGAAACAGTGCTGGGAAGCAAAGGGTAGCAAAGTTGGAGAGGCAGCAAGATCTGTGTTGATGCTGGGCCAGAGATCCTGGTTGTTCAGTGTGCTGTGTCCTTCCCTCCAGTGGTAATAGCCCTGCTGTGTATGAGTGGGTACCTGATCTGGAGAAACTGGAAGCGGAAGAACACCAAGAGCATGAATTTTGACAACCCAGTATACAGGAAAACAACAGAAGAAGAGGATGAAGACGAGCTTCATATAGGGAGGACTGCTCAGATTGGCCATGTCTATCCTGCAGTAAGTATTCCTCAGTAGGAGAGCTCCTTCCCTCCCTTCTGTCCTCTCACCCTATCCCTCCCTTCCACCCTCCCTCCCTCCTTTCCTCCCTTCCTTTCACCTTATCAAGAACCTGCCACGCATCAGGCACTGTGCTGGCTCTGGGAGAACACAGACTTACTGAAGCAGGTGATGGGGGCAGAATATCAGGGCCACCTTTTACCTAGAGGCTCTTCCTGCCAGTTAAGAAGCCAAATGTCTTCCTGCAGAAGGGCAACTGGCTATTTAATCTATACATATATGAATTCCAACAAACTCTGAATGCCAGTTAAATGCCAAACCCCACATTAGACATCAAGTGTTCAGAATTAATAAAAGAATGCATTGCTTCCCAAGTAACTGGGGGTTGGGGGTGGGAGTTAGAGATGCTAAGTGTCATGGTGGAAGTTGAATCTACCCTTCTAGGAAGACTTTCTAGGCTTGCTTTCTTCTCCCACACTCTCCTGGCTGGGCCTCTCCATCCACAAACCACTTACTTTTGCTTAGTGGTTAACCTACTAGACCCTGAGTTCTCTGAAAGCAGGATCTGATGTGGTTAGTCTGTTTTCCTGGGCTAAGCATAGCACAGCTGGCTTCTAACAAATAATGAATGAATGAATGAATGAATGAATGAATGAATGAATGAACGAATGAATGAACGAACGAATGAACGGTATGGAAGCACAGAAAGGGAGCTGCTAATTCTGTCTGGGGAACCGGGTTACATAACAACTCACAGTAACAGATGAACTGTCTTTAAAAATAGCAGTTTTTAGGTAAGGAAGATGGAAATGACACTCCAGACAGAATGGATGCAAAGGCTTAGAGAGCGTGGCCTGTTGGGGAACAAGGATTGTGAGGTGGTTTAGGACAGGTGTCACTGTTGTACAGCAGAGTCAGGGGGCTGAGTATGACCTCAAAGGTCATCCAGTCCATCCCCCTGTCAGGCAATCAGCAGCTTTGATCGCCCACTGTGGGCAGAGCCCTGTCTTGGGGAGACCAGAGACATGGAAGACCCAGCCCCTGCCCTCAAGGAGCTTTTTGTCTTGCCGGGGGAACCAAGGTCACAGCTGCACCAACTCCCGAAGAACCCTCTTTCCGAGCGGCCTGTCGTCAAGTGCAAGGTAGGGCAGTGCCACTCTGAGCCTGAGGGGCTGGTGAGCGAGGGCCATAAACCTAGGCAGATACAGCAAGTCCTAGAAGGCTTTCTAGATTTGGAGGGCTACAACTGTAAGCTTGCTACTTGGTCAGAGAAGAATGGTGCATGCTGTAGACAGAAGACATGGCATGTGGGATAATGTTACTGATGTGTGGCAGACAGACTGCTGTTGAAGCAAACTGTTTGTAAAGGAGAGGTATGAACAAAGTGAACAGTGTTGTGAGGGTTAGCAGATGGCCTGAAAGCTCCTTAACCCTGGCCAGTGCAGGCAAACAGATCCTTAGAGATCAGAGAAGGCCCAGTACAAGAGGCCTTGAGCTCGGAGGAGATGGCTCTCAGTTCCACTGTTCATAGCCCTATGGTCTTGCCTACTTATCTTTCCTAGTGTATTGAGAGTGATAACCCAGTCTCTCTGCCTCCTGAGGTTATGAAGTTTAAAAGCATTTTGTAAATTACAAATCGCTCTACACTAAAGTATCATCATTTCCAGAGCAGGAAATGATGCAGCGAAGTTACCCCCTGATTACTGTAAGGCCTGTGTGATGAGCTCCTTCCAGCCCCAGAGAGACAGAGCTGGAGTAAGCCAAGTGGTATTTAGCAAGCATCTGCTGTGTGTCAGACACTGCTTTCGGTGTCTCACACGTCTTTTTCTCACTCAGTCTGCACGGTTACCTTTGGAAAACCGAGAAACACAGAATTTTATTAACTCCCTGTGATCGTAGCCAGAAAGTGGCAGAAGCAAGATTAAACTCCAGGCAGTGTGCACAGAGGCCAGTGTTCTTTCCACTCTGTCCCGGGGTACCTGTCCTTGAAGCTCTGAAACTCCGGACTCTCAACCACCTGTCTTCTTCTGTCCTTCACTCCTCTAGCTCTGCCGTCACTTCTGGGGCCCGTCTTTGGCCTAGAGACAGGCCTGGCGAGAATAAGAGGGTGGCTTGACAATACCTTGTTAGTCAAAGCATGACCAAGTATGCATGGAGAGATTAAAACAACCGAAAATTAACTTGAAAGGCAATGAGGGTTCTTTCTCTTTCTTTGTCATATTGTAGCATTCCAGAAATGGAAAATGTTTATTTTATGATGGTTAGGTTTGACTAGACTACTCCAGATCTCGTCCTTGATAGGTAGCATGTCAAAACTCTAGCTATGTTATTTCATTTGGTTTCTCATATGAAGTAGATCCTAACCTCATCAACAGTTGATGAGAAGGACGTGAGGGTAGCCCCAAATCATAGTGCTTTGAGAAAGGTAAGGAGACTAGGATCTATCCAAGGCAGGTGCCCAGGAAATGGGGAAAGTGGCGGTCAAGGTTCTGTCAGGATGAGCTACGGAAAGTTAGATGTGTGTCCTAGGAAAGAAAACAGAAAGAGAGGAAAGGGATTCACTTAACTCAAAAAGAAGTTTTGGAGTTTTCCTCTCCAGAACTCTGAGACTAATATAGAACTGGGATCATGAGAAGATATAAATCAACAGCTTTTACATCAGTACAGGAAAGAATTTTAACCCTTAAGGCCATTGGTCAGCCATTCGAGGCAGAAGAGAATTGAACATATAGCAACTGGAAATGAGGGACAAGGGAGAGAGAGACTGGATGTAGTTACTTATGATGCTTTCCAGTGCCCTTTTATTACTTAGAAGGGGTGCAGCATGGTACCCACCTAATTGTGATTTGTATTCTGGAGACAGGTGACTAACTGCCCAAGATTTAACATTTGACAGTTAACCCTCTTTAAGTTCACCCAACTTAAAATCCTATGAGGAACCTAAGTTTAGATTTTTGCTACCCTTTTTTTTCTGGAAGCCAACAAAATGATGGAGAAAAGCTACACTTCTAGATCTGCACAGACATGGAATCAAACTTTAGTTCAGCCATTTTCTGTGCGATCCACAGTGGTATAACTGAGCCTCAGTTTGCTCATCTCCAGAATAAGTATGATAAGTCTTGTCATTGGCAGTTTGAAGACTGTGTGAGCTAATCTCTATAGAGTAATACTATGTCTGTACTTTTGTTGATATTTAGTGAAGACTGTCTCTTATAGATCTAATGATGATTTCTTGATCTATTTCCCCAGCGAGTGGCATTAAGTCTTGAAGATGATGGACTGCCCTGAGGATGGGACCACCCCCTTCGTGCCTCATGGAGCTCAGTCCTATGCACTACTCTCTGGATGGTGTGTGCCTGGATGAGTGTCTTTTCTATGTATGGGTCTGTGGGAGTGTGTGTGAACGTGTGTGTGTGTGTGTGTGTGTGTGTGTGTGACTTTTTTTAAATTTATGTTGCGGAAAGGTAACCACAAAGTTATGATGAACTGCAAACATCCAAAGGATGTGAAAGTTTTTATATGTATAATGTTTTATACACTTTTTAACTGGTTGCACTACCCATGAAGAATTCATGGGACAGCTCCTGCTGAGTGACTAACATGATGTATATAACCAAACGGGGCCAATGGTACAAACTTGACTCATCATTTGAATACTATATTTACAGAGGACATTTGTTTTGATTTGAGGGCTTTTTTAGGTTTGGGGGGCTTGGTTTTTTGTAAATAAAATTATGCTTTGTGGCTATCCATCAACATAAGTATAAAAAGAAAGAACACTTCAACTCCCTTCCTCATTTAGATTATTTATTAACATATTTCAAAAGTAAGGTTAGCTCTATTGATAATTTAGAGAAGCGAGAGTATTTATTTTTGGTATGACTGGCCCACTGCACAGACTCTGTGTTTATGTGTGTATGTTTGTATGAAAGAAAAAAAGAATCTGTAGAGAAGAGGCACACTCATGACTATTGTTCAAGTACATAAAAACAAAATTATTTTAAAACAGCCCACAAAGAGGCCTATCTAGTTTTCAGAGACACCGTCAGAAACTTCATTCAGAAAATAGATGCCACAGTTTGCGCAGACATGTGGTGGGAAAAGGTAGATCTTTTCACCTCTGGCTGGCTACTCCTGAGGCCTTGGTGAGCCAGCAAGAAGCTTTTCAGCTTGTCCATGGCTGTCATGACCCCTGCCTAGGTTTTCTGATCTGTGGTTTAGGTCAGTATACAGATATTACGCAGTGCCAGAAGTCCTCTTAAAGTTCAGCTCTCTGTGAGGACTCAGGTTCACTTTCCTCTGAAGCACCTAAAGGCTGAGCCTCTAGACAGCAGTTCTCAACCTGTGGGTTATGACCCCTTTGGGGGCCAGATGACCCTTTCATGGGGGTCACCTAAGACCATTGGAAAACACAGATATTTACATTACAATTCATAACAGTAGCAAAATTACAGTTATGAAGTAACAAAATAATTTTATGGTTGGGGTCACCACAACACGAGGAACTCTAGTGAAGGGTCCCAGCATTAGGAAGGGTGAGAACTGCTGCTCTTGAGCTAAGTGAAGACATTTCTAGGATTTCCAAATTTACTGTAAGAACTGGCTCAGGCACTGAACCTCTGAGTCTCTGTGGATGAGGACAAAGATTTTGGAATAGGTTTGATTACATCTCTGTTTCTCCATCCCCTTACTTTCTACCATTTTCTTAAGTAGGGGAAACATTTTAAAACAACAAACATGTTTCTTACCATCATATGTTCACATGGATAAAACTAAGTCCATAAAGGTTACCACATCCAAAGTTATATTTGGGGGGGAAATAACATAGGAGATATAGCATATTGGGCATGTGTCCACACAAGGATTTGTTTTACTGCTTTATAAATAAAAAGGAAAACTCTGGGTATTTATATAGATCTTTCTTCGTTATGAACACCACCTTTACATTTTCTGAGCCTTGGGGTGGGGAGGGCATTTTCTGTCTGTGGGATCCACTGTTGGAAACCCCATAGTCCCAGAAGAAATTCAGTCTCCACTAGCTTTCCTCTTCCAAAGTATGGTCTTTCTGTGATTCTGCTGTTCTGCCAATTCACTCCAGCTAAATGATCAAGTACAACATGGAAGTATTTGCTTACCTGGAACCGGAGGACATGTATCTACCTTTGACATACCTGGAACTTGACATTTAAAATGTCTCCTGTTCCCACTCTCCAGCTTCCCCCAAATCAGTGAAGCTTGACTGTCTCGCCAGCTTGGCACCCTCTGAATTTCCAGACAGGCCATCTGGAGTTCTGCCATCCTGTTCCTAGGAGCTTGCTCTATGTCACTCATCTTTTCCTACCTTTAAAAGAAATGGCTGTGTTCTAAGTGTGGCCATTATGTCTGACAAGTTCTCTCTGGTATACATGTGCTGATGGTCCTGAGATGTCCACTGAATAAATGCAGTTGACCTCTGACCCATTCCAAACAGTCTCAAGAACAGGTGGCCAACTCCTATGGAGATAACTCACTATATTCATTCAGGAATGGAAAGGAAAATCATTCTAACTGAAGAAAAATGCTGAAAGTGAAAGCATCAACATTTACACAAAATAAACAGCTTTTAAAAATGCCTCCAAAGAAATGGAAATAACTAGCAGTAGTTAATTCATAGTTTCTGAACTTTTAGTCAGATCCTGGACTTCAAAATAAGGTTGAAACATACAGTCTAGGATTTCCAAAAGATGAAATGCACAACTTAGAAGTGCCCTGTTCCCTGACTATGCTACAGCCACAGTCTGAAAGCAGAGACATCAAACAAACCAACAAATACATGGATAGCGTAGATCAGAAGCAGTCTGGGGAAGAGAGCCACTTGCTCCTAGCACTGAAGACTTTTTGAGCCTCATTCTGAGGTGTATTCCAGATCTGCTGCTGCCCTTTGCTGCTGTGCATATGGATCCAGCCATCAGCAGCCAGAAGGATGCTTAGAGATAAATCAAGGGGGCAGAACCTCAACAAACTACTTATTAAAAGAAGCCAGGCCAGGCCTTTGGCTCTCCCTTCCCCAGAAGACAACACTGGGCTGCCTGAACAAGTGTGCAGTCAAACCTGCTTCCTCTCCCGTGACTGTCTGTCCAATGCACTGATGAAGGCACTACCAGAAATGGCCTTCCTGAGACAAGAAACTAAAACTCTGCTCTTCAGACACACACACACACACACACACACACACACAGAGGGTAGATTCCACTAAGAATACTGCCAGAGCACAACAAAGAAAATGGGTCATTTTACCTGAAAAGATGAAAAACTGGGTCTTCATAGAAGTGACCCAAAGCCAAGTCTTAAAAATTGAAAAGTGGCGTTGAGGCTGCTTCTGGCAGAGGGGACACTGAGCTAAGACTGGGCCTGAATCAGCCGCGGGACTCTAAGGCACAGCATGTAGTTCATCACACCTGGAATAAAGAACTCAAAGGGAGTTGGCAGAAGAGAAACTGGATGGAAAGACAAGTTCAACACAAGCACTTTATAAAATAACTCTGATTGAATGAAGCAGACCGCCCTTTGGTCGCGTGCTGTGTACAAGGCAGCATGGAAAACTTACTGCCAGCACTTTGGAAGGCATGACGTCATTCCACCTCAAGCGTTCCAGTGGCCACAGGGAATGCTGACTGCTTTCTACTTAAAACATTGAGTCAGATTTTTGACACGGTTGGTGAAAACTAACGTAAGAGCGGTGGAGTTTTCACAGAAGCACGCCGTGATGTCAAGCACCTTTTCCCTTTCTCTCAACTGTAAGAAAGAAAACAAGATGATGGAGATACAGAATCTGAGGGTATCCCAGTCAGTACAGTCAGGTGCTACTGGGTGCGGGAGGAAACAATTCGAATCCCACAGGAATACAAAGACCACGCCCATCCCGCCACACACTCACCATTTCACAAAATGTCAGTCAGTCAGCAGTTTCTAAATATATAATTTCCTTCCTCATAAATGCATGAAGATAGAGAGTCTCCTTACACTATATTTTTAGGGTATTTGGGACTTTTCAAGATACAAAGAATTTAGAAGGTGGAGGAAATTAGAGCTCCAGATTTTCAGTTAATTAAAGGAAGCTTCATTCAGACTGTTCACCATGTGCACAGTCTTAAGAATCAGCAGGAACAGCATTTGCCAACATTTTGTGTTGTCAAAACTAATTTTAAAAAAGCTACCTGTATAAATATATACATATATATATTTAAAGACAAGGTTTTGATACTTTTTTCTTTTTTTTCTTTTTTTTACAAAAACTACAAGAGAAGACTGTACAAACTAGACTTTTAAAATGGCATTTTGTTCTATACAAGCTGTTAATATAAGGGTAAGGTACTGGTTTGCAAACTCACACTATCCAGATGGGTTTTCTTGTTTGCTGCCTCCCCCTCCAAATTACCACATTGGTTGTAATAGTAGGGCATGTAAAATGTTGGGTCGCACTAACCATTTCTGCTCTTGTCACATCATTCTGAGTTCCATTAGCGTCTGTACTCAGTGTCTCGGCAATCTAGTTTCTTCCAGAGGCCGAGGGACTGAAGGAGGTGTGCTCCATTTCACTAGCTGTACTGACATCATCTAGGTGAACTGAAAACCAAATGTGGACATTTGTAAAATCAGAACACTGTTTCTAGAGAGATTAAATTCATTTTTTAAAATGTTTTGCCTCATTGTGGTGCTTTAATGGGGGGATGTGTGAACTATCACTAATGAACTCCCTGATGTGTAACAAATGTTTTTCACAAATCATCCCAATCTTAGCAATAATCCTGTAAAATAATATTTTCAGTATTATCCACTCCCACTTTATAAAGAAATGGGTAAAGTAACTGCCCAAAGTCACAGTTCTTTTTCGTAGTCCTAAAGAACAATAACATGGGTAGCAGTCTCTGCCTAGAATTTCCTACTTGTTATTAAGTACTAAATTTAGGTAGTATCTCCTCCAGGAAGCAGCCTCTTGTGTTTCGGTCAGGTAACTCCACATTTCCATTATGATTTTTGCCTACTTGCAGCCCGATGTTTTCTGATCTGTCACTTATTCTCAGACCACTCAGGTGACTTACAAAGGTCATCTAGGGCTTCCCTTATTTGAAATCTTGTAGACACACCTCCAGTCTTTTTCTTCCTTGACCTCAGAGCAGTATTTAACACTTTCTGGAATACCCTTAGTTTGGTGTCTACAACACTGTATGTCTGCTTTTCTCCTTACAGCTTTGGCCACAGCTTAGGCCACAGCTTAGTCTCCTTTGCCTACCCTTTACATTATGGCATTTCATTTCAAATCCACCCATTTTTCAATCTGCATCGTCATTACCTGCACATGAGTCATCATGGTATTCCTACCCTCGTGGATTACTTTAACAATTACCTATCTAACTGTATTATATATACTTCTGGTCTTTTGGTTTTCCAGTCTAGCTTGCATGACAACCAAAGCAGTCTTTCTAAAATGCAGTAGGAGCTGGGCATGGTGAGGGCATATGCCTTTAATACCAGTCTGGCCTACATAGTGAGTTCCCAGCCACCGAGGGCTACATAGTGAGACCCTGTCTCAAAAAACAAAAACCAAGCAAAAACAAAACAGTGGTAGAGGAGGGAGTGGTAGTGGCGAGATGGCTCATTTGGTAAAGATGTGTGTCAGTCTTCCAAAATGGGGACTTTTATTGGTTTTGACCTATTCAACCTTAGAATTCCCACAGACAGAAAACTTTCACAGAGGTCAACTTTGACTCTTAAAAATGACCTCTTGGGTAGTGGTCCCCATGTCTGTCTGACTCATCTAGTTTTTTGTTTTGTTTTGTGAGAGGGTAGACCAGGCTGGGCTTAAACTCACAGAGATCTGCCCCACTCTGCCTCGGAAGAGCTGGGATTAAAGGTATCTTTAATGCCTGGCCTGGCCTGGGTATATTTGGAGGTGTAGGTGCAGGATTCCATCAGCATGCAGCCAGGGCTAAGAATCACTGCTGGGAAAGGAGACTACTAGGGGTGGAAATCCAACATCCAGCACTTAGACATCAGTGTGCAGGAGAGATGAAAGGCAGCTTGTGCATGAATGTGGCCCTCTGGAGGATGAGGTAGGAGAGTCCTAGGTCAGTCTGGACCACGTAGCGGTACCCTGCCTATAAGTAAAATAAATAAATGGCAGAAAGGGATGTTGGCAGTGCAGGCAACTTACAGGAAACGCCGCGGATTGGAGAAGCAGCCACTGGGAGCCGTTTTCTTAAAAGATAGTTAAGTGGGGGCTGGAGAGATGGCTCAGAGGTTAAGAGCACTGCTTGTTCTTCCAAAGGTCCTGAGTTCAATTCCCAGCAACCACATGGTGGCTCATAACCATCTGTAATGAAATCTGGTGCCCTCTTCTGGCCTGCAGGGATATGTGCAGACAGAACACTGTATACATAATAAATAAATCTTAATAAAAAAAAAAAAAAAGATAGTTAAGTAAGCTGGGCAGTGGTGGCGCACACCTTTAATACCAGTCTCAGGAGGCAGAGGCAAGCGGATCTCTGTGAGTTCGAGGCCAACCTAGTCTACACAGAGAGCTCCAGGACAGCCCGAGCCGTTAAGCAGAGAAACCCCGTAAGACAGTCAAGTTTTTCGAGACAGTGTCTTAGTATGCAGCCTGTAGCCTCAAACTCGTGACCCCGCTGCTTAGTTAAGCTCTGAGTGCTGGACCACAGCTATCCACTCCCACACTCCCCCTCAAAGCCAACTCCTGATTCAGACACGGGGTGTGCGGGAGGGGGCAGCGTGCTCAAAGACGGGTGAGCCATTTTGCCCCATCTTACTGCGGAGACCGCTTGGGCTCGGAGAGTGAATAGTCTGGTTCGACTCGCTTGTGCCTTTAAATTGAGGCTGAGCCTGAGTGGACGCCGGCGCGCAGAGTTGGGCTTAAAATCTACAGGCAAAGGTCTCCTGACGCAACCGTGGGAGCTCGGCCTTTACGGAGGCCCCCGGACCTTGCAGGACACTCGACTTCCGGAAAGTCGATCTCGCCTCAGGACTAGGGGGCGTGGGGCTCTCGTTCCCGCCTCCGGAGAGTGAAAACCTGCTAACGGCGCGGCGGTTTGACGTCACTTCCACGCGCCGCCGCTACGTCAGTCTAGGGCGCAGATCCTGGTAGTGTGGTCTGTTCCTAAAGTTCGCTCTCGATTGTCCCTTGTGGGCCATGGAGAGTGACTTTTACCTGCGTTACTACGTGGGTCACAAAGGCAAGTTCGGTCACGAGTTCCTGGAGTTTGAGTTCCGGCCTGACGGTAAGAGCGGCCTCCCGCCTGCGGGGAGAGGGACCGGACCCGGGGGCGGGCGGAGGAGCCGGGCTCCGGAAGGTGACCAAGTGAAGGCAGGGACTGAGACCGGTGCCGCTGGGGCGTGGAAGGCACGTTCCTTTTTCGGCTTCGCTGGTTCTTTCTGTCTGTGCGCTGGAGCTGCTCCTTAGTAACTTTTTTTTAAAAGCCAGATTGCTTACATTTCAACAAAGATTGGATGTCCATGTTCCAGCGGACCGTGTTCCACTCGGGGGACAGAGCAACGAAGATAAATTTTCCCCCTCGTGGAAAATGTGTTTCAGTACTGGGAGAAACCGTGAACAATGATCTCCTATCGTGAGGAGTGATCAGAAAATAGCATCGCCGTTAGAGAGCACTCTGAAGAATGGGTATTTGCATTGAGCCGTAATTGAAAAGGGATTAATTTGTGACGCTCGGGAAAAATAGCGTTCTAATGAAGTAGCAAGTGAACAACAGGTCATAGGACAGCAAAGAACCAGGCATGTTTCAGGCGGCCACTGTGATGACTGAAAGATAATATGGAATTTCAGGGAGAATAGCAGGAGATGATATTAGGTAGGTGTTTATAGGCCATGAATAGATGCAGCAGGAAAACTTTTAAGAAAAGAAGTGTGATCTGTTCTTCAAAAAGTATGCTAGTGCTTGGACACAGAGTGGGCAAGTGTGACGGTTGACAGGACATAGATGGTGGTCCAGACTGGATAAATAGGATTATAGACGTGGAGAAGATTTAGGATACTGTTGGAGACAATTTGAACGTATCTGATTGATAATGTTTTGGGAAGGTTGCAGTGTGATGAGGAAGCAAAGACAGTTCTCCTCTTCAGATCTTTTCCTTGTCAGTTCATTCTCTATAAGATGGACAAGAACATGTAGCAACAGGCCTCTGTAATTACTGTTCTCTGATATTCTCAATGGCTTCCGTCTACCTTCCTGATAAGATTCAAACCCCTTACCATGGCTTACAGCCAAGCTGAGTTCCTGCCTTTTCAGCCACAGCCCTACAATATTCCTCCACACTGTTTTGTTTCTGCCTGCAACATCCCAAGCACTTTTTAGTTTTCAGTCTCTCTGATGTGAACTCTGTCCAAAACGCCATCTTGTCTTGTCTTGGTCCCTCAACCCACACCTACACTTTACATTCTTCCCGTCCCACCCACCACCCAAAGTCACTTTATGCATGAAACCTACTCAGACCTTCAGCCAACATTTCCTGTTTTGTTGTTGTTTGGTTTTTCGAAACAGGATTTCTCTATGTAACTTTAGAGCCTATCCTGGAACTCTCTTTGTAGACCAGGCTGGCCTCGAACTCAGAGATACGCCTGCCTCTGCCTCCCAAGTGCTGGGATTAGGTGTGCGCCACTTAAAAGTATGCAGAAATAGATCGGCATCACAGGACCACATGGGGGTGTATGTGTGTGTATTCCTGTATGCAGCTTCCTACAGTTTTCAAAATACTGCACAGCCCAGTTGAGCATCAGCACACTCTCTGTGTAGGTAAGTTAGCAATTATAATTTCTGTTTACAGCTGAGGTCATTGACCTGCCAGAAAGCTATTTGCCAGAGTCGTAAAGAGCATGCCTGTGTTCTTTTGCCACATCCTGGTAGCTTTAGCCTGAAGTCTAGTTCTGTGTCAGGTGCATCCTCAGTTGTTTAGTAGTTTAAAGTGGAGCACTGAAAAGACTAATATCACAGCTGTGAAGTGGGTTGAAAATTGGTTCTAATTTAGACAAAGCTGATATTCTTAGTAGGCTACTGATGCTTTGTTCATGTTTTGTTGTACATTGCATTTATTTTTCTGCCCCCACAGGAAAACTGCGCTATGCCAACAACAGCAATTACAAAAATGATGTCATGATCAGAAAAGAGGTATGATCCTTTCCTTGACTACAGCCTAGCCTTTTGTTTTACATGGTTTATGCTTTCTCTAGTGATAGTAATGAAAAATGAGGAGTGGGGAGATAAGTACTTCTTTCTTTTTCTTTTTTCTTTGTTTGTTTTGTCTTTTTGTTTGTTTTTCCAGACAGGGTTTCTCTGTGTAGCCCTTGGTATCCTGGAACTCACTCTGTAAACTGGGCTGGCCTGGAACTCACAAAGATCTGCCTGCCTCTGCCTCCCAAGCTGGCATTGAAGTTGTGCGCCACCATACCCAGTTAAACACTTATTTCTAAACAACTAGATTATTTCTCGGGTCTTTTATTTGCAGGTTTGTTTGTTTTGTTTTTAACAGTGCGGAATCAATAACTAGTAGCTGAAATGTCTGTGTCTTGGTTTGAACCCTCAGTCCACTCCATAATGACCATGTGACCTCAGACAAGTTCCCTGGCTGAACTCAGTCTTCTGTTATCTGCAAAATGAGGGATAATAAAACCTACTTTCCATTTCCAAGTGCTCTATTTATTTAATTCAATGTATTTACAGTGCTTGACATAGTTCCTAGCACTTAGTCTATGAAGAGAGCATTGCATTTGCTCCTGAAAGGGAAAGTTGTCAAGTGCAGAGTGGTGCCTTGTGTATGTTTTGTTGTCTTTTTCGAGACAGGGCTTCTCTGCGTAGCCCTGACTGTCCTGGAACTCCCTTTATAGACCAAGCTGGCCTCAAACTCAGATATCTGCCTGCCTTTGCCTCCCCTGGAAGTAAGGCATGCACATACCACCTGGCATATATGTATCTTCTTTAACCCTGATTATAAACGCCCATGTGACAGAGTATTCTGCCATATTTACATATAGGAAAATGAAGGCCCAGGTATTAAATCTGAGACTTGTTCAAAGTTACTCTTGCTTATAAGAGATATTGGCCAAAATTCAGGTGTACTCATATCTCAGTAAAGTTCCATTCTGCTCTGATTTCTACCATACTATTAAGACTTCATCAACACTACTATTTGCTTTTAATCACTCTGTCAGACTTGAAAATACAGCAGTCAGTATATCACTGTACCATTTAGCAGTTAATTTTATGCCAAGTCATCATCATATCTTTTTCTGTTGAAGAATAACTAGGATGAAGCTGAGGATGGAGCTCAGTTGATAGAGTGCTTGCCTTCATGAGCCCCTGGGTTTGGTTCTTAGTACCACAGAAACTGGTTATGGCGGTCCATGTCTGTAATCTCAGCCCTCGGAAGTCTAAGATCATCCTTGGCTACGTGAAACCCTATCTTTAAAAAGAAGCAGGGTGTATTAGTCTTCGTCCATCACTGTAACAACTTCTCTGACAGGCTACTCAAGGATTATTGCCAGGAATGGTGATACATGTCTGCAATTGCAGGACTTTGGAGGTGAAGGCAGGAAGGTTAGAGATTAAAGTTCAAGTTTGAAGCCAGTCTGAGCTAAATGAGACCCTGTCTCAAAAGCAAAGAAGAGATGATTTAGCTCATTGTTCTGGAAGTTCAGAATCCAAACATCACTTCAGTAGTAGGAGTATGTGTGTGGCCATGCAATGACCTCTCAACCAGGGGGGTGAGACGGAAACAGACCCTGGTGTCCCTCCTTCCTCTGATGATATGCTGCAATGAACTAAGGTTCTTCCAGTAATCCCTACCTCTTCAAGATCCATACCCCTTCCTTAGTACCACCCTGAGGACTAAACCTTTAGTCACATGAAAGGGGTGGGAAGGACACACTGAAATCGTGTCCAGAGTAAAGGTGCATCTCAGTCCAAACATACTGCTATATTAAAATACCTGAGACTGGGTAATGTATAAAGAGTAGATTTACCTCTCAGTGAATCCCAAGACCTTGTCAGGTTTGGTGTGTGGTGAGGACCCAGTCTATTCTAAGATGATTGTTCCGTCCTCAAAAACAAAAAACATAAACCAACTTTCTTCGTGTGACAAAGGAGTGTAAAGGGGGCCGGGGATTCCCTTGAATCCTTCTGTCCTTGTGGCCTAATCGTGTACTAAAAGTCTCTAGTCTCACGGGGGTCGGGGGGGGGGGGGGAGTTTCAACCTAATTTGGAGGGACATGTTCAAATCACAGCAGAGAAAAGATTCGTGTGAACAGGATGTCCCAACAAGTAGCTGGGGAGCTGGGCTGTTGTCGTTGGCTAATTTTGATCCCGACCCACCTTTTGTTTTGAGGTTTGAGAAACAGGTCTTCAGGAGCAATCGTTTTTATCTCCCATTACTTTCTGAGTTAGAATATTGTTGCGGTATGGTGGTGTGAATTAGAGAATGGCCTCTACAGGCTCATGTATTTTAAACTTGATTTTAGGCTTATGTACATAAAAGTGTGATGGAAGAATTAAAGAGAATTATTGATGACAGTGAAATCACCAAAGAAGATGATGCTCTGTGGCCCCCTCCTGACCGAGTAGGCCGGCAGGTGAGTGCTTTATTAATTCCATGTTGGTGCTGGAAATGGAACCCAGGTCCTCTGGAAGAGCAACTAGTGCTCTTAACCACTGAGCCAGCTTTCCAGCCCTGTATTACTGTTTTGATAACTAAAAAATAAAAGATAATTCTACCTTGACTGCTATTACTCTACTCCGTACTTCTGGTTTCTGTTTCTCCTGTCTTGTATAGCCCAATATTTCTATCCTAAAGCCAGGGTGTTCTTTCAAAATGAAAATGTGCTGAACTTGGCACATGCCTCTAATCTCAGCCCTTCGGAAACAGGCTGATGGGTCTCTGGCCAGCCAAAGGTACATAGTGAAACCATCTCAAAAACAAAAACTCTTTTCCTTAAAGGAAAAGATTTGTAAATTTGACTTCATTAAACTTAAAACCTACAAAAGACATCTAGATAAAGTTGAAAGGAGCCACAGACTGGATGAAGATACTTGGAAAATATATCTGACAAGGAGTTTCTCTATAGAATATATAAAGAACTATAAACCAATAAAAAGATAACCCAGGGGCAAAATGTTGCGAAGGATATAAATAGTTTATAGACTCAAATAGGAGCCAGTACACGTGGAAAAGATTTACAGGTGCATTTGTAACCTGTGAAAATTAGGACATCACATTTTTTAAAGCCTCCCCAAGGTCTTCAAAAGAATAGAAAGAGTTCATACACCGATGGCAGGAATCAAGTCCCAGTGTGGCCACACTAGGAAGCCATTTGGATAGGAGCTGGCAGAGCTGAAAATACTTAATTTCGGTGGGACTGGGGACCTAACTCCAGAACTAGCACAGTTGTTTTCCAGGGGCTCAGCCCCAAGATCTAGAACATTCTTACCACATCATTCATAGTAAGAAACGTAAGGAACTTAAGTCTGCTTCAGTAAGGAAATGGCATGTTCAACACATTTAAATTGTTGAGTAGCTCAACGTGGATAAATTTCTATTCTGTTTCTATTCTTAGAAACAATATTGAATGGAAAAAATATATATACATATCGGGTATGGTCATTTATTTTAAAAGGATGCTGCTAAATCTAAAAAAGCAAGTGGGAGGAATACACACCAGTTTTAGGGGGATCCCAGAGAATAGAGTGGGAGACAGGTATAACTTGTGGTTTTTGTTTCTTTAAGATGGGGATGGGGAGCAGCAAGATGGACCAGTGGGTAAAGGCTCTTGCTGCCACACTCGGCAGCTTGAGTTCAATCTCCATAACCCACATGAAGGTGTAAGGAGAAAACTCCCATAAACTGTCTTCTGACCTCCATGAGTATGCCCTGAGATTCGTGCCTACATGCGTACATATCTCTCTCTCTCTCTCTCTCTCTCTCTCTCTCTCTCTCTCTCTCTCTCTCTC